ACCCGACGATCGTCATAAGCAGCCGCGAGGCGGTCCGGGAGTGCTTCACCACCCACGACAAGAACCTCGCTTCTCGTGTCAAATCCAAGGCGAGAATCCCACTTGGGCTACGGGTACGCAGCTTTCGGCTTCGCAGAATCCGGGGACTTTCAGTTTGCTTTCGGCTTTCAAGCTTGACCCTCTGGTACTCTACGCATCGAAACCGCACCCCGACCGCAGTGTTCACTCATCATCAAGTGATGAAGGCTCTCACTGTCTCTCTTGCAGGCTGGACAACCTAAAGCACGTTCAAGCATCAGAAATTGACACCTTCATCAAGGACCTGCACACTCTTTGCAGGACCAACACTGACAATGTCCAAAATGGGTCCTCCAAAGTGGTGGTCATAAGCCAATTGCTCGAGCTCCTGACCTTGAACATCATAATCAGAATGATCGCAAGCAAGAGATACTTCGGATTATCGTCAGCATCAACTGGGTCCTCCACCGACGATGATGAGGCAAGTCACCTCAGGAAAGTGATCGAGGACGTTTTGTACATTTCTGGGTTCCCTGCAATTTCAGACCTGTTGCCCTTCGCGGGATGGACTGACTGTGTGGGGACTGTGAAGACCATGAAGAGAGTGGCGAGAGAATTGGATGAGATCATTGGGAAATGGGTTGAAGAACACAAGCTGACGAGAGGTGATGATCAGAGAGGAGATGCGATGGATGTGCAGGAGGATTTCATAGACGTGATGCTCTCTGTGATTTTTTTTTTTTTGGAATAAGTGCATTCAAAGTCCTAAAACTTGTCACGAAAGTGCAATTGAATCCTAAAACTTTCAAAAAGTGCAAAGAAGTCCTAAAACTTCTCACGAAAGTGCAAACAAGTCTTAAAACTTATCAAATTGGTTTAATCAAGTCCTTCCATTGATTGTACTTTTTGAAAGTTTTAGGACTTGTTTGCACTTTCGTGACAAGTTTTAGGACTTGTTTGCATTTTTTGAAAGTTTTAGGATTTAATTGCACTTTCGTGATAAGTTTTAGGATTTTTAGTGCACTTATTCCTTTTTTTTTTGTCAAAGATGCTCCCTGTGATTGGGGAGGATGGTTTGGCCTCATTTGGTCACTCTCCTGAGACACTCATCAAGGCGACAGTAATGGTATGACTCTTGTGACTAAGCTCACTCCATTATTAGCATAAAGTTTTCTTATCCAAATGATGTTCTTTATGGGCTTCTGGGCTGCTTCTTGACAAAGTTTTCCGAATGACCCAGAAAATGGTGAAAGGCTTCTGGGCTCACTCCATTATTTGCATAAAGTTTTCCTTTTCTTCTCTTTTCTCTTTTTTTTTTTCACTATGGCTGGCCACGGGTCTCCGAAGCTCGCCGGCCACTGGGCAAGGCCATCGTGGCGGCCTTTCCCTTGGCCGTGATGGGTTGGGAGAAGGCTAGCCTGGCCATGGCCTCACTGGACGCGAGCAAGGCCGCCTTGCCCAGATCTAGGCAAGGCCAGCGCCTGCCACAAGGGAGATTGCCTTCAACTTCGGCTAAAGTGGCCATGGCAAGGCTAGCCTTGTCCAGATTTGGGCAAGGGCTGCAGTTAGGGGCATGCAAAGGAACCGGGAACAGCCCGGAACCAGACCGGACCATCTGAAACTGCAGTTCCCGTGAGGACCGGTCCAGTTCTCGGTTCTAATTTACTAGAACCGGTGAGTACCGGTCCAGTTCTCCGTTCTAGGCGTGGAATCACCCACCCGCCCACCCGGACAAGACCGGTAATATATATATATAATTTTTTTAGAAAATTTTCAACCAAAAAAAAAAAGAAAACATTTTTAGAAAAATGAAAACCATAAAATCCCTAATCTAAAGCTCGACTCTCAACTCCCATCAACTCACGGTCATACCTTTAGCCGTTCATCACCTCCCTCTTTCACTCTCGGTCACCTTCATTTACGTGAAACTTGGTAGGACCGGTTCCTGGTTCCAATTTCTCGAAATTGATCCTTAGTGGGCGATTTCCGGTTCCACGTTAGGAACCATCAGCTCAGACCACGCTCACCCCTAGCTACAGCCCTTACCAACGGTCGTCGAGTTCCGGCGACGCTCGCCGGCCACAGTGAAAAAAAAAAAGAAAAAAGGAAAAAGAATAAAAGAATAAATTAATAAAACAATTTGAAAAATATTAAAAATTTAAAAACTATCAAAATCGACACTGCCCGTATAACGTAGGACGTTTGGCGTCCACGTCATCAATTTCCGGCCAAAATTGGTTTTATGAAGTACATTGGCAAATTGTCAAAATGTTTAGAACTAAATTAAACAAATTGAAATGTTTAGTATTGAATTGGAACAGGTCCAATAGGTTTAGGATTTTTTTAGGTTTATAGTTTTCGTAGAATGATCAAAAAGAAGTATAGAATTGGGCCGGATCTAACTCGCCTTCATATTCAAACCCTCCCATAGATCTTTCTTCTTTCTTTTAATGATGTATGGTCAAAATGATATTTTTGTAAGTGTAGCTGCAACCACTTTATGTACTGATTCATATTCTTGGTTCTCTGTAATTTTTCATTTGGCTGATTTACATGCTGAAGAACATTATAGTGGCCGCATCGGACACAACGTCTCTGAGCTTGACATGGGTTCTATCTCTATTACCAAACAACATTCGTTCTCGGCGGAGGAATATATGGTTGATGTACGGTGTCGCCACATCACACATGTGGCTCTAGTCACCACCTCAAATAACATCACCCGGTATAGCTCGTCTTAGTTACAATGAATAAAGGGATGAATTACCATACTATAATGCTTGGTTATCTAAATCGACATCAATCACAGGAATGCCATAACCTGTACCAATTGCTAATGCCATCATCGGTCTCGGCACAATTGCATTTTAACTTGTGGAATTTCATGGCTCTCTTTGCACGAATTTCTCTTTTATTTTTTTGTAATCAATTAAGAAAGTCTTTTCTCCGGAAGGGATAGTGACACAAATAGTCCATAAATTTCGACCCAATGTGTAATTTAATCATTGAACTTTTAATTTATTCAATATAGTTCGTGAATAGACTAAATTGAACATGTACCAAAAATCCAATGATCAAATTAAATAAATTAAAAGTTCATGGATCACATTGAACATTAGGTTAAAGTTTAGGAATCATATTAAACAAATTAAAAATTCAGAGATCAAATTGCACGTTAAGCCAAAGTTCAGGATTGGAATTAAGAACGAGCTGTCGCGCAAGACACTTCCATGAGGGCGTTGACCCAAGTCAACGGCCGACAAAACCGACCCACAAGCTATTGATTTATGGAAAATGAGTAACTAACGGTGCTGTCATTTTATGGGCGAATGACGGTCAACTCTTGACCACAAAAGCATTTCCTGGGAACCGTTCATCCGGTTCCTAGGGAAGTGGCGTTATTTGCAATAATATATGAAGGATTATTTACCCAATATTTCTCATAATTAAATCGAAAGAAAAAAAACTTAATAAATTATAGCCAATCCTCTTGCGAGTTAAAGAAATATTTTTTTGCTTAATCATTGTTAGATTATAATTCCCAAGGTTTATCTTATTGTTGCTAACTCATTATAATGTATAAAAAGCACAATAATCGTATACATGACAACCGTAAAATATCCTCGTTCAAACCTATCACCAGCACAATTTTATTTACTCTAGTCCTGAACACCTCATGTTTACAGTTTTAAAATATGTGTTACTAGGTTGAGGTTTTGGTGAGACTTGCTAGTCTACAAAAGCAACAATTCAAACATGAGAAATATGAAATCGAAAACATGACATGGAATCAAAGACAAATCTGACTCGTCATATTATGCAATCTTACTTAAATAAATGTTATGTTTTACTAAGTTTCTATCAATTTTCTCATATTTCACCTTAGAATTAAAGTTTACAAAATATTTTATCTGGTCCTTTGGTCTATGACCTTTCATTTGCATAGTATATTTTGTCTCTCTCTTGTCTATCACAGAGCTAGCAATACAATCATATAACTTTTAGTTCTTGAATTTAATTAAAATTTTCATTTCATCATTGGAAATTGTCCGTGACATATTACTAATAAATCTTGGTACAAAGCATGAAACTTAAAATAAATATGAAAGTCAGAATTTTATGTTAACTTTTGTTCCCTATAGATTCTCAACATTGTGCTAACTGATACGGTTCTAATTTTTAAAGCTAAACCCTTTAAATTAAAGGGTTTAGCTTTTGGAATTTTGCAGCATAAGGGCCATTTTTTACAATTAATTTTGAAAATTTTGTACTCCGGTTGCCCAGCTGAGTCCAACTAACAGAATGTAAAATTTGTGGCTGTTAAAGCACCGTTACAAATGCAGTGTAACGGTACGATTAGCCTAGCCAGATCTTGCAGAGAATGTGTGAACAACTTATACAATGATTTTTTCTTCCTTTTATTTATTGACAAATTTTCAAAAACTAGTTTCCTACAAAAATTCTACAATATGCATCTAATGCAGGTATGTCTGTTGTTTACCCATTGACCTAATTCTATGGAATTTTGTAGTATTTCAATAACGGCAGAAATATATAATTTAATGAGATATGACACATGATGAACGGTGAATCTGTATTATTTAATGAGATATGACATTAGGATTGAGACACATTATTTGCAAGATAATCAACGTGCTATGCTCCAATTGATCATTCTAATGTAATTGATTACAATAGGCATGCTCTAAAGGGCCTATTTTATCGTGAAATTTTCATTTTTTGGGCGGGGGTGTAATTTTATAGAAGCAATATTTCGATGACTGTTGCAAAATTATTTGCACATAACCTAAACTAAAACTTCGAGCCAAAAAAAAAAAAGGGTTAAAATAAGACAAAGAGGACCAAACTTGACCTTTCGGTTGCCCCTCTCTCTGAATCTGGAATATGTGGCTGGGCGTTCACCGTTACTCTCAAGAACGACGGTGACCGTCAGCCTAGCGGCACCCTTCATTTATCGCGTAGTTTAGTTCATTGACACCATACCTTCTCCTTGTCCCTCTCCCTCTGTGCAAGCCACCATGCTCTTCTTCCTCACTCATCTCCTAGCAGCTGCAGGGGTTCTGTTGCTCCTACTAATCCTATGGCGGGCAAGATCTTCCCCGAACAAACCCGAAGGTGCCGCCGCCGCCGCCGCCGCCGCCGCCGCCTTGCCCCCGGAGCTACCGGGCGCATGGCCCGTCATAGGCCACCTCCACTTGCTCTGTGACCAGATCCCGCTGGCCAGGACCCTGGCCGCCATGGCCGACGCGCAGGGCCCGATGTTCCGGATCCGGCTCGGTGTCCACCCGACGACCGTCATAAGCAGCCGCGAGGCGGTCCGGGAGTGCTTCACCACCCACGACAGGGACCTCGCCTCCCGTCCCAAATCCAAGGCGGGAATCCACTTGGGCTACGGGTACGCAGCTTTCGGCTTCGTGGAATACGGGGACTTTTGGCGCGAGATGAGGAAGATCACCATGCTCGAGCTCCTAAGCACTCGAAGGTAGGACTATGGGATAGGATGATTGTGGTCTGAATTCAGTTTGGTTCGATTCAGTTGGGAAGATAAAAGCCAAAGTCATCTTTGGCTTTGGCCTTCATCAAGCAAAACCCGACTGAATTATAAAAGGGTATTTTTCCAATTCGAGTTCCATAACGTACTTGTTATAAACTTTATCAAGAAACCAAACTCAAATTGAAACCATAACCTTTTCTTTTCAACTTTGATTTGCATATCAAGCTCGACTTTCTGGTACTCTACGCATCGAATCCGAAACTGAAACCGACTACACCGTTCGCTCATAATCAAGTGATGAAGGCTCTCTCTGTCTCTCTTGCAGGCTTGACAACCTGAAGCACGTTCAAGCATCAGAAATCGACACCTTCATCAAGGACCTGCACACCCTTTGCAGGGCCAACGCTGAGGACGCCCAAAATGGGTCCTCCAAGGTCGTGGTCATAAGCCATATGCTCGAGCTCCTGACCTTGAACATCATCATCAGAATGATCGCAAGCAAGAGATACTTCGGACTATCATCGGCATCAACCGGGTCCTCCACCGACGGCGACGATGAGGCAAGTCACCTGAGGAAAGTGATCAAGGACTTCATGTACATATCTGGGTTCCCTGCAGTTTCAGACTTGTTGCCCTTCACGGGATGGACCGACTGCGTGGGGACCGTGAAGACCATGAAGAGGGTGGCGAGAGAACTGGATGAGATCGTTGGGAATTGGGTTGAAGAACACAAGCTGAAGAGAGGCGATGATTGGAGAGGAGGAGCGATGGATGTGAAGGAGGATTTCATAGACGTGATGCTCTCTGTGATTGGGGAGGATGGTTTGGCCTCATTTGGTCACTCGCCTGAGACACTCATCAAGGCAACAGTAGTGGTATGACTCTTGTGATTGAGCTCACTTCATTATTACCACAAAGTCATTGGGTTTTGCTTTTTATTCCCTCCCTTCATATTTTCTAAAGACTTCTACTGAACCCATTAATGGCCCTTCTTGACTTGAAGGGCGTTGGAAAATATCTTGTGGTCAATTTGTACATTTCCTAGCAAAGAGTTGTTGCCATAATCGCTAGGACTTATGCCAAAAAAAAATTAAATTATATTCACTGTCGCATCAATAAATCTATAGCACCAACCCCATATTTTTTTGGGTTAATACCACGAAAAACCCTAAACTGGTCCACTTGTGACACATTTACCCAAAACTATTTTTTTTACCATAAAAAACCCCAAACTGGTACACCTGTGACAATTTTAACCCGAACTATTTTTTTGACCACCAAAAACCTCAAACTGGTACACTTGTGACGATTTTACCCTGAACTTACCACAGAAAACCCCAAACTGGTACACCTGTGACAATTTTACCCTGAACTTATCACAAAAAACCCCAAACTGGTACATATGTGACAAATTTACCCTGAATTAAATTTTTAATATTATTTTTTATTTTTTCGAATTTTTATTAATTTTTTCTTTTTTTTCTTCATCTTCAACCTCTGGCCGGTAGCCGGACCGGCGACCGGCCAGAGGCGGAAGTCGGCGATGTCGGCCCCGCTGGCCGCTGGCGAGGGCGGCCCTCGCCGAGCGTCGGCGAGGGCGCATCCTCGCCGGACGCCGGCGAGGGCCGCCTCACGCCAGATCCGGAGGCGGCCTCGCCGGCGCAGCGAGGGTCACCCTCGCCGGATCCGGCGAGGGCAACCCGCGCGATGCCGGTGAGGGCCGCCTCGCCGTCGTCGGACGAGAATAGCCCTCGCCTAGGCAGGCAAGGGCAACCCTTGCCTGAGTCGGGCGAGGGCAGCCCTCGCCCACGCCGGCAAGGTCGAGCCTCGCCCGGTAGGCCGGCGAGGTCGAGCCTCGCTTGCGTTGGGCGAGGGTGCGCTCGCGTGGCGTCGGACGAGGACGGCCCTCGCACTTTGGGCGGGCGAGGGGAGAGGGATCCTCGCCGGCGAGCCGGCGAGGCGGCTCCCTGGCCGGCCGGCATGGTCGAGCCTCGCCCGGCGGTAGGCGGGACCAACCTTAGGCATCGGCCTCGGCCGGTTCTTGCGGTCGGCGGCCAAACTAGGAGGTTGAAGATGAAGAAAAAAAAAGAAAAGAAAAAATTCAAAAAAAATTTTTAAAAAAATATTATTAAAAAATTAGTTCGTGGTAAAATTGTCACGTGTGTACCAGTTTGGGGTTTTTTGTGGTATGTTCGGGGTAAAATTGTCACAGGTGTACCAGTTTAGGGTTTTTTGTGGTCAAAAAAATAGTTTGGGGTAAATGTGTCACAAGTGTACCAGTTTAGGGTTTTTCGTGGTATTAACTCTATTTTTTTTATATCACCACCATCTTAAACTTGTACGAGCATAATAAAAATACCCTCCGTAACCGTTACAATTTTGGCAGTATTGGCCACGTGAAAAAAAACAAAAAGATATTGGCGTCACAGTGGAAAAGTTTAGAAGTCTTTCTAAGACGGAGAGTTTTTTGTAATACCGATATAAGGTTGGGGTACTGGTGGCACGAAAAAGCGTTTGGATTTTTGTGTCATAATGAGCAAAGTTTAGTGTTTTTTATGGTAAACAAAGGGTATTTTTGGTTAGACGGGTACAAATTGGGGGTTTTTGTGACACAAAAAAAAAGAGTTTAGAATATCGGTGTCACGATTGATATAATTTTGGACTTTTTATGATATTTCTTTTTCTGAAATCTGATGTTTTTTATCTTCGGCCACAATAATAATCACTGAGCTTGCTTATCCAAATCCTGTTCCCTATGGGCTTCTTCTTGCCAATGTTTCCGAATTGATCCAGAAAAGGGTAAAAGGGTCCACTCAGTTTGTTTTTTGGGTTTATAGCTGTAATAGAATTGCCTTAAAGATCATTAGAAGTGGGCCTGATCTAGCTCACCTTCATATTCAAACACTCCAATAGATTTCTCTTATATCTTTAGTTGATGTAGTCTCTAAATAATATTTTCTAAGTCATGCTGCAACCACTATAAGTACTGATTCATATTCTTGGTCCTCTGCAATTTTTCATCTGGCCAATTTTGATGCTGAAGAACATTATAGTGGCCGGATCGGACACAACGTCTCTGAACTTGACATGGGTCCTGTCTCTGTTGCTCAACAACAAACATGCCTTGAAGAGAGCTCAAGAAGAGATAGACCTCAAAGTGGGCAAGGACAAATGGGTACAAGACTCCGACATCGAGAGGTTGCCTTACCTCCAAGCCATCGTCAAGGAAACCTTACGCCTATATCCACCAGGTACCTATCTTTTCCATATGATTCGTAGTATTTGATACGACTCGATATTAACGCGCGATTGAAAGCATTGAGTTCGCCATCCGGATGTGACAAGACATGATGCGTGTCTTATAGATGTAATGTGATGATGTATATGAAAATTTGAATAGCCATTTCTTGGCATCAGGTCCCTTGTCGGTCCCGCATGAAGCGATAAATGACTGCACTGTGACCGGCTATCTCATTCCGAAGGGTACTCGGATATTCGTCAACGTGTGGAAGCTGCACAGAGATCCTCAAGTCTGGTCCGACCCGGAAAGATTCTTACCCGAAAGGTTCTTGACGAATCATTTAGGTACAAAGATCTGCCCGTATGAAGAGTAGTTTATAAAGCAAGGCTCGCAATGAATCCCAATTCAGTGAAAAGAATCGACCAACAAAGCATGTTAATTTGATTGATTTCATTTTTCCCTCGAAGGTGTGGACGCTTCGGGTCAGCATTTCGAGTTCATTCCATTCGGGTCGGGCAGAAGGTCATGCCCGGGAGCTGCGTTCGCATTGCGAGCGACCCACTTGACACTGGCTCGTCTTCTTCAAGGATTCGACTTGGCAACACGGTCGGACGAACCGCTGGACATGACCGAAGGCTTAGGGGTCAACCTGCCCAAGGCCACTCCTCTTGAAGTTGTTCTGACCCCAAGATTGCCTTCCAAGCTCTATGAGCAATTGACGCAAAATTAGAAACTATTTTCGTCAAGAAGAGAGGAAAAAGGGTCCATGTATGTGAATAATCTCGTTTAATAAAACAATTACTCGTGGTGAAAATATGGATTAGACGAGTGAACAACGATTGTCTTAATGTAGATGCACCGATGCCATCCCCTTGTGAACAAAGATACTCGCGATTCATCTCTTTCTTTTTTCCCCCTTTTGTTAGGCAAAGTTTGGCACCCAAGTCTAGGCACTTCCAAGGGTCGAATTCGGAGAGATTTTCTAGGGGACCATGCACGGTATAGTTATGTTGCCATCCTTATTGTTAGGTTGTACCATGCTTGATTGAATGGTCGACAATTGACGTGGACTGATTAAAGTCAAAGGACAATAGAGTTTCCTACTTAAAGAAATTATTATTATCTCTCAAAGCGTTCGATTGTAAGTTTAAATTTGAGTGCAAGGGAGAAAAGGAGCATTTTTTTTTTTGTGGGGATTGGGGGAAGTTAAGGACTTGAGCAAAATCACATATGTTGGTGGATCACACATTAAAAGAACCTAAATCAAATCACATTAGGCAATTTTATTAATTGCATTCCTATGGTCGAAAATTTGGGAAAGATATAACCCAAAAGGAGAGAGATTGTCTACCACATTAGATATGTTGGACCTCCAATGATAGATTTGTTACCATGTATTTTCAAAGGAGAGAACGGATCTCTTTCCTAGATTGAACAGGCGATCTAAAGAAAACCCAATTTACTTGCATTCTCCAATTTATTGTCTTGCAATAAATAACAAGAAAGCGAAAAAAGAAAAATCGATTCTCTTTTTTAAATTGTATGAAGCCTCTCATATTCAAAGCACGAATTAACAAGAATATGTCGATAAAAATTAGATTTATGATCGAACAAACGGTATTATAAAGAAGTTCGGCATCCATACAATATGTCGTGAAATCAATCAAATATAAATTTATCAATCAAACTTGGAGACCAAAGTTGGTGGCAAAAGGAGGACAGAAAATGTTGACCAAACGGAGAAGAAAGAGAGGAAAAGGATCGCCCCTCAATTTAGTCAACTCCCCCTTAAGTTAAGCCATTTCCACCATAATCCGGGTCATTAATTACCAGCTTATTCAGGAAACCATATCACTAATTCATAATCGGGTTGCCACACGTGGCGAAATCTCACTGGCGCTTGAGAAAGTAGGAAAGTAAATCAATTTAATTGCCTAATAAATAACAGATAAAGCAGTAACACCCTCTGCATGCACTCTATTTGTCTTTCCATAACGCCCCCCGTCTCCTTCCTTCTCCTTCTCCTTCTTCCTCCTCTGTCCGAACACATCATAACGCCACTCTCTCTCTCTCTCTCTCTCTTCTGTGAAAAGGGAAAGATGGAGAAGAAGAAGAATTTGCCGGCGGTGGTCTGGTGGATGAGGAGGCAGACCATGAAGGTGAAGGTGTTATTGGTGGCGAGCCTCATGGTGGCATGCTTGGTGGCCCTGAAGCTCACGGTGAAGAACCACGCCTACTTCTTCGTCGCCTCCGAGCTCAGCCATGCGGTCGGGCTTCTCGTGCTCGGGTACAAGCTCATCAGGCAGAGGACTTGCTCTGGTACAACCCTTCTTCTTTTCTCCCTTTTTCCATGCTCTGTTTTTAGCTATTGAATTCGTTTTATCTTTCCCTTTTCCCACGCTTTTATTTCTCTGTTTGGAGAGAATTATTGTCGTTTTATGGATACATTTTCTTTTCTTGGGTGATCTTCTACACTGTCGTTGCTTGAGTCTTGGCTGAGCGAACTAGGCGGATGGATGTCGATTCAATTTGCATTAATCGTTTGGACCATGCATACGAAATTCGGCTTGTGTCCAAGATATAATAGGTTTTCTAGGCGGGACTACGGAGATATCGCAAATCGGAAATTATTACATAGGTCGGATGGATGCATTATGTGCCCTTCGAAGCTATCGAAAATCGAAATCTACAATTTGGTCGATTTGGGTTAAATTTGGCGGGACTCGTCATGAACCCATTTAGGATGCGCTCGCTCGGTCCATGCAATAATTCCACAAGTAGATTAAGCCTTTCTGGGTAATCTGATTCTTTTTTCTTAGTAAATGATTTGCTTCCCCTCTGGACTCAAATTTGCTTGAAGGATCCACTTTCATTGCCATAAACCCGTAGCTGTCCTTCTCAACAAGTCGATTGTAAATGCATCGATGCATCGATGCAATGGCGAGGAACAAATCTTATCGGGACTTGGTCATTCGGTGACTTCTATCGTTTGGCAATGATGTCCCCATGGACATTGCTTAATCGACAGTAATGTGCCTTCGCTCTTCGAATAGAGTTAGTGGGATGCAATTAGCTCGATGCTGTCGATGTGATGGTATGGTAGCATCAACAAGAATTAGTAGGTTAAGATTCGGTATAGGGGGAATGTTCCTTATATGTCGGTAATTAGCACAGATCGAAGTTGGGTAATTGGAAGCCGGGCTTCTTCTCTCCACAGGTGAATTTAGTTTATGCTCCATACACTAGCATAATTACCGTGATCATGGGGTGCCGTGGTTAGGTAATGGAAACAGGGTAGGGCAGTCGTCGAGAAAATGGCGGTATATGCTTGTCGCGAATATGGGGACGGGATACGCTGCTCGTCATGAAAGTGGCCATGGCTTGGTGATCGGTAATATAACCAAAAACATTACATGTATCCCTAATTCTATTCCCATTGATTATTTTTCAGGCCTGTCTCTAAAGACTCAAGAGCTCACGGCCATCTTCCTCGTGGCAAGATTCATCTCGAGTACCATCACCGAAAAGAACATCCATACCGTGTTGGATCTCACAACTCTCGCATCAACCGCATGGGTCATCTACATGATGCGAGTCAAGTTGAAAGCAACTTATGCAAAGGATCTAGACAATTTTCCTATATATTACGTGGTAAGTATGTAGAATACATTGCGAAATATATGTGATGTTACTGCCCTGTACTCAATTGCCAGCACATTATTAACTTAAAAGTGGATGAATTTTTCTGCTAGTGCTAACATACTGTGCTTCGACATTCTAAATGCCAGGTGGTGCCTTCCATCGTCCTCGCCGTCCTGGTTCATCCTTACGTTCCCAACGCTCGCCACATCGAGATCCTATTTGCATTTTGCGTTTATGCAGAAGCTTTGTCCGTGCTGCCTCAGCTTCGGCTAATGCAGAATATGAAGGTCGATTATTCATGTTACCTTAGTTCAACATGCTCCGGATCGGGCACGAGTTTTCTCATTCATGTCTTTCTCGAGATGGTTTTCAGATGATCGAGCCGTTCACGGCCCACTACGTTTTCGCTCTGGGGGTTGCGAGATTCATGGCCTGGGCTCATTGGATCATTCAGGTATAGGTTTGTTTCTGGTATCGAACCATAGCAATCATAGCAATTGGGAAAAACGTACTCTCACGTAATTCTTGTCTTCCGGTCGGGAATGTCTCATTTTAGAGTTTAGATCAAAATGACTTCGTCATTTACATAACTTTTGGCGAACGAATATGTGCAGACTATCGACACCCGGGGGGCGTATTTTTACATGATTGGGAGCGGCTCGCTCTGGTTCCCGGCGATCTTCCTCGCCGAAGTCGTGCAGTCCTTCATCTTGGTGGATTTTTGCTACTACTACATCAAGAGGTAAGCTTGTTTATTTGAGCACTGTCTTCAATTCTTCTCTCTTTTTCTTTTGATATTTGGATGACAAAGTTTCTTCTGTGATTCCAGTATTATGGGAGGCCAACTGGTGATGACCATGCCAGTCTAGACATTTCGGGTGGCTCAGGCTTTTATACTTTGATCTTGAGAGAGGCAATTTCTTTCTTTTTTTCTCTTGACCAAGTGAGACTTTTAGCTGCTTCTTCACTGTACTCCATGTCCAAAACTAGATTTCCAGAATCGATTGACCTGACTATGTACTTTTTTTTTTTTAGACTTAAGAGTTACTGCAAAACGAGCCATCTTGGCATAACTTGTTATTAATCCGAACTCGACTCGGTTCGTTCATCAAACCCGGCTTGAGCGCGGCTCTCAAATTTGAGACATACTTGGTGGTTTGTAAAATTTATTGGCTACATAAAAGACATGATGACATGTATTCAGGCTTGACGCAGAGAGAAGCGATAATTTGGAAAGTTCTTCCACGATTCAACAGAAATTCCGTTCAATTCAATAATTCTTGAATACAAAGCTGGACATCATTTAATAACGATAGGACTCCTACAGATATCCGAATTAATGAAGATAACATCAAAGCTAATCAAATCTAATCTTATCTAATAAAATTCAAACGAAATATTGATAATTCGAAATTGCCTAAAGTAAAAAAAACTGCCTGAAACTCTATCTAGACGACTTCGAAATGCTAAAATCCATCGTATGTCACAGCAAAGCTGTGTGTCCGAATGATACGGCCGTTTCGCTTCAACCGACCAATTTTGAGCGCGATCCGAGGTCGTTTTCCCCAAAATCAGAAAAATTGCCGAGATTTTCCGGCGATTACGGTGATCACATTCTTCAAGATAATCACAGGCTAACTGTTCTACATCATTCCCTCCCTCTTCGGAAAAACTCGCCCTCGAGTTATGATCAGGATAGAGGGGTGTATCGGGAGCATGATACTCAAATAAGTCTGCCACATTAAATGTATGGGAAATGTTGAGATCACCAGGAAAAGAACTACTATACTGTAAATCAGTCCCAAACAAACGCCATAAAGTACGCCAAAAATGGCTCAAAAATTTCGTGTCACGATCGGAAGTGATTGTCTTCGGCACACCATGGAGACGAACTACTTCACGAAAGAATAAACTTGCCACATGCGAAGCATCCGAAGTTTTCTTACAAGGGATGAAGTGCGCCATCTTCGAAAACCGGTCAACCACCACGAAAACAGAATCTAAACTCCGTTGAGTGCGAGGAAGTCCCAACACGAAGTCCATCGATATGTCTACCCAAGGACCCGAAGGAATAAGTAAGGGAGTATAAAGACCAGTGTTCTGAGAGTGGCCCTTAGCGGTCTGACAAATGTAGCATTTACTGACAAATCGCCCCACGTCTCGCTTCAGTTGAGGCCAATAGTACCGCTCCTCCACCAAGACTACAGTTTTATCTCTCCCCAAATGTCCGCCGAGAGTACCACCATGAAGCTCTCGAATGAGTTGTTCACACAAGGAACCACGGGAAATGCATAATCTATTGCCAAAGAACAAGAATTTTTCTTGAATTATCATATCGCCATGACAACCTGTTTCAGAACACTTCTTCCATGTCTCACCAAAATCATCATCCTCAGGATAAAGAGAACATAGGTGATCAAAACCGACAATATCAGTGCGCATGGTCACGAGTGTCGCAGCACGTCGACTCAGCGCATCTGTCACTTTATTTAAATGGCCTGCTTTATGACGAAGCACAAAATTAAATTGCTCCAAAAAAGAAACTCATCGTGCATGCATTCGATTTAAGTGCTTCTGACTCTTTATATATTTAAGAGCTTGATGATCAGTGTTAAGAACAAATTCCTGCTGATAAAGATAGGACCGCCAATGCTTTATAGCTCGCACGACAGCATAATATTCCTGCTCATACGTCGACCAACGCCGGCGAACTTCATTAAGTTTTTCACTAAAGAAGGCTATAGGCTTACCTTCTTGGGAAAGGACAGTGCCAATCCCGACGCCAGAAGCATCACAGTCCAGCTCGAACACTTTCTCAAAATCAGGGAGCATTAATATCGGCGCCGTGGAGAGCTTTTCTTTGATAAGAGCAAAACTGGCCGAAGCTTCATCTCCCCAATGGAATTTGTCCTTTTTTAAACAGTCAGTGATCGGGGCCATAATAGTACTGAAATCTCGAATGAAATGCCTATAGAATGTTGCAAGGCCATGGAAACTTCGAGCCTCGCCAACATTCTTTGGAACTGGCCAATTGCGAATCACGGCCACCTTATCTACATCAACGTGAAGTCCATCCGAGCCAACAACAAAACCCAAAAACAAGAGGCGTTCTGTCATGAAGCTGCACTTTTTCAGATTAATAAACAATTTATTTTGCTGCAAGGTTAGTAGGACATCCCTCAAGTGCTCCATGTGTTGACGCCCATCCGGACTATATATGAGTATAACATCGAAGAAAACTACCACAAACTTGCCAATAAAAGGTTTGAGAACCTGAGTCATCAAACGCATGAAAGTACTAGGCGCGTTAGTGAGTCCAAACGACATGACAAGCCATTCGTACAAACCCGCACTTGTCTTGAAGGCCGTTTTCCATTCGTCGCCAGGACGGATGCGAACTTGGTGGTATCCGCTTCGAAGGTCGATCTTCGTAAAAATCCGTAATCCAGCAAGTCTGTCTAGCATATCATCAAGTCGTGGAATCGGAAACCTATACTTGACAGTAATCCGGTTAATGGCACGACTATCTACACACATACGAATGGTGTCGTCTTTCTTTGGCGTGAGAAGTGCAGGAACTGTACATGGACTTTTGTTTTCACGCAAGAAGCCCTTTCGAAGGAGCTCTCCCACCTGCTCTTGTAGAATCTGATTCTTCTTCGGATTCATCCGATAATGCGGCAAATTAGGAAGACTAGCACATGGAGGAAAATCAATCTCATGCTGGATATCCCTCAAAGGAGGTAATCCGTCAGGTAAATCCTCAGGCATAACATCACTGAATACCTTTAATAAGGGCTTAAGAATGTCAGGAACACGAACCACAACTTGCTGGTCATCCTTGTCCATAATCATATACATCCTTTCACGCTTTCGGATGTTCATCATAACCCCTGCATTCTGCTTCTTCACAATCTGAGGGGAATTACTCTTTGGTCTCAAAGTAATTTTAGTCATTTTCCACACAAAAGAATACGTATTCTCCCTAGCTCGGTGTGTAGCATCAACATCATATTGCCATGGTCGACCCAGTAAAACATGACACGCATCCATCTCCACAACATCACAGACAATAGTATCTTGATATGATTTTCCGATCGAAATAGGTAAACGGCATAATTGGTTTACCTTTAGTTCTGCTCCCTTGCGAATCCATCCAATCGTGTAGGGCGCGGGATGCGGCTCCGTCTTTAGTTGCAAGTGATCCACCAAGGCCTTTGACACTATATTCTCATAACTTCCGCTGTCAATAATGATATCGCATACTTTGCCGTTGACAGTATAGCGAGCGCGGAAAAGCTGATTCCGCTGGGTATCTTCTATCCGCGGAGCAAGCAATAGACGACGCACAACACAATTAACTTGCTTGCCCACTTCATCTTCCACTCACACTTCTTCTTCCTCTTCCCAATCTTCCTCATACACATCTTCGTCATGTTCAACGATATTGGCCATTCTACGACGAGGACAATCGCTGGAACGATGGCCCAACTCGTTACACTTGTAGCACTTGATCGGTTGGGGCTTGGCATATGGATTCTGGGTATTCTGATTGGGAGTGCGATTGCTTGCTGCGACTGCTTCCTTAGACGTCCCAGTAGTACCCCTTGGAACTCGGCTCGAATCAGGGGTTTGTCTACTAGAAGAACTTGTAACATCAGGCTGTCTTCCTTTCCCGAATGACCCACGACCCGAATAATTGCTACCACGAGTACTAGGGCTAGTCCTCTCCAATTGCATCTCAATTTTTTGCGCCATATCCTGGGCGTCTTCGACAGAGAATATCGATGCAAAGAAACCCGATCCTGGATATTAAGTCGCAAACCATTAATGTACCTAGCGGTTTATTGTGCCTCAGACTCATCCAGGTTATTGCAAGCGGAGAGTCGAAGGAACTCTTCCGTATAAGCTTGGACCGATCTATTCGATTGTCGGCAGTGCGGAATTTTGAAATAACATGATTGCTCATAGTCCGTTGGGAGGAACCTCTTCTTCAACTTCTGTTTCATCTGACCCCATGATCGAATAGGAGCCTTGCCTTGTCGATGTCGCGTCAATTGAGTCTGTTCCCACTAAGCTGAAGCGCCACCCTTCAACTTGTACGCCACAAGTTTCACTTGGCGATCCTCGTCAATATCCATAGCGTCGAAGAATTTCTCGACCTCCCAAGGCTAGTCCAGGAAATCTTCAATATCTAAATTCCCATTGAAAGTAGGGAGATCTACCTTTAGTTGATACTGCTGAGGATCTCGTCGATAGCCCCCCTGCCGTTAATCCCCACGAACATGCTCCTCCTGGAATCCCTGTATCGGCGACCACCACGAATCTGCATCTCCTGGAAATCTTCGTCTTCGTCTTCTGTATCCTCGACATAGTCTTGACGCCTATGTCGGGGAATTCCTCCATGCCCCATAGCATCTTCGGGATCACGAGCGACAGGAATTCGCTCGGCTGGAAGAATGCCAGGCGCATGGTTTGTGGACAAACGCTGGATGGCATCAAGGATCTCTTGAAACCTCCGATCGGTTTGATCCACGAACTGATTGAACTCAGCCCGCGTAATAGGCTCGTTCTCACGGCCCTCAGCAGCCGGAGATTGACATTCACGTTATTCACCATCGTCACAGGAGAAACCTGCTTTGATACCAAATGACGCAGAGAGAAGCGATAATTTGGAAAGCTCTTCCACGATTCAACAGAAATTCCATTCAATTCAATAATTCTTGAATACAAAGCTGGACGTCCTTTAATAACGATAGGACTCCTACAGATATCCGAATTAATGAAGATAACATCAAAGCAAATCAAATCTAATCTTATCTAATAAAATTCAAACGAAATGTTGATAATTCGAAATTGCCTAAAGTAAAAAAAAAATTGCCTGAAACTCTATCCAGACGACTTCGAAATGCTAAAATCCATAGTATGTCATAGCAAAGCTATGTGTCCGAATGATACGGCCGTTTCGCTTCAACCGACCAATTTTGAGCACGATCCGAGGTCGTTTTCCCCAAAATCAGAAAAATTGCTGAGATTTCCGGCGATTACGGTGATCACATTCTTCAAGATAATCACAGGCTAACTATTCTACATCAAGGCTTAGTTTGTTTCACGAAAAAATGGACGATTTGGACTTTGGATCGATTATTATTCAAGATCGCCTTGCCTAATTTCAAGCTGAGCTCGAATCCTAGTCATTCGAATATTTTGTCGAGTTGAGTTCATATTTGTTAATACTTAGCTCGATAAGCTCGCAAGCCAAATCGAACATTGGTTATTTTGGTTATTTTGTAAAAGAACTTATAAAACTAGATATGTTACGCTTAAAATGACATGACAAGTGAGCTTACTAAACTCGAGCTTGAGTTCTATTACAAGTTTATTGTAATCGAATCAAGGTCAAGTATCTCGATTATTCAATCTAATCAAGCTTGAGCAAGAAATTGGTACTCAATCGAGCTAGGATAGAGTTTCGAGCTCCACACATAAGAATCAAGTTGAGGTCAACCGTGGCATTGCATCGACTCAACTCGATTAGATCTAATGCAAGATATCGAGCCCGATTGAATAAGGGTCGTGCTCGGCACAGCAAGGCTCGTTGAGTCCTGACCCATCGCATGGGCTCTAGCTTTATTGGGCCTGAGTCGGGTCAAGCCCATTGGGCCTAATGGGCGATCTCAGGCCGTATTTTTTCTTCTTCTGAATCCAATGATTAGGCCCGTGTAGGCAGGCCACACGGGCCCAATCATTAAACTATTATGGGGCCCAAAGGCTCCAAAAAATTTTGAACGGAACTGATCGTTAGACCTAAAAAGAAACATTCCTTCATAAATTGGCTCCCTCCCACTGTAATTTTCACCATTCGTCAATCCCTGCCCACATGCCACTTCCTAATACTCTTTTCTCTCTAAGATCTTTTGTCAATTTCATGATTTTCTTTTCTCCTTAGAACGATATAATCCCGTTCAAAATATCGTTGTGGACGACGACGATGACGACGACAATGGTTTTTGATCATCCCAACTTAATCCAAACTTTACCTTGCAAATGTCATGGGACTAGCTTGTTCAGTGGGTTTGGTGACAACATGGTCAGCGTGCCAACTCCAGTCCAGCAATAAGCCCAATTCGACGACGACGAGGCACAACAATCCAACCACTAAGAGGGGTCACAGGAGTGGATGCTGCAAGTTAGTCCCCGCCAAGATGCTACCTCAAACGAAACCCCTACCCTCAAAGAAAACCCTCGAGCAACTGTGCCGATGGCTTCTCGAAGAGAAAAACTCAGTGTCTGGAACACATTTCGGCTCGAGATCGATGCCAATGATGTCAAGAAGGCCATTCTCATGGTAAGTGGCCGTAAATTATCCGGGTAATTCTCAAGTGGGTTTGGCCACTTGAAGAGGCACCAAGCAAGACATGCTGCAGAGATTTCCGGGTTTGGGTGGAGCTCTTCGAGCACAACACGACGTACCGAAAGCTCGTTAAAGTACGACAAGGCGAGGAATCAGCGGGAGCTTGCATCCCATTGTCTTGCCACCGAGCAACTCTTTGATTTCACGGTGGATCCCCACGCTTCGTCCAACTACATGCAATCGCTCTACAACCTCTCAACTCAAGCCTCATTCTATGGACAACATACGCTAGAACGTTCAAGTCACCATATAGAGAGAAAAAGGGCGGCGTTGGTGCATCTATTGTCTATGGATAGCTTTTTTAATTTCTGATTTAAGGACCAGTCCTACGAATTATGCATGGTCAATGGGAATTGGAAATTAAGTCACTAAACTCTTCCGCTAAAGAAGTTACTATTATCACATAATTCCCAAAATGTGGCACCGAAATAACGATAGCCGTTAATGAGTTTATCATCTATGATGAAATCTACGACATCACCTTAGATAATACCAGCGGTAATACCACAAGGAGTCTGCCTAACAATTAAATCCTATATGTAATTATATTTTTATCCATGTACGTTGTGTGTGCTACTGCATTAACTTGTGCATGCAAAATCTCTCTTCTAGTTGGAGGTCCTCTACATAACACAAAATAGAAAAGTTGAGAATTTCCCTCTCGACTCGAGGCTCCGTTCGTTTCACAGAAAATAACTTCCGGAAAAACATTTTCCGGATTTTTCGGTGCTCGTTTCACGGAAAATAAACTAACAACGGAAATTTTTTTTCTGTGGATGGACAAAACACCTTTACTTTTGAGGAAAATGTTTTCCTCTTTTTGAAAAGAGAAAAACATTTTCCCCCTCCTTCTTCCACCATTCATTTTAATTATTTTAATTTTCTTTTCTTAAAAATTCTAATTTCAATTATTTTTTAATTATTTGTTTTTATTTGTTTTTATTTTTATTTTTCTTTCCTTCTCTTTTCTATCTTCTTCTCCGGCCGGTCACCGGCCACGGCGGCGGCCGGCGATCGGCCGCAGGAGAGCTTGAGCCTCGCCTACCTGCGGCAAGGCCATGCTCGCCCGAGGCCGACGAGCTCGAGCCTCGCCAGATCCGCTCGTCTTCACTAATACTTTGTCTTCATCCATCAATGAGGTGAAGACGCACTTAACAACGAACTACTCTAAGTGCATGAAAATGGTTGACTAAGATAACGTCATCGTTTAAAAGTGGTGGGGGAGCAGAGTTTCGCGTTTTCCGATCATTTACATCATGACTCGTGACTTACTGACCTTTCATTGTCTAAGTTACCATTGGAGTCCCACGACTTGAGGTATTATAAGATTGAGATTTTTGTTTTTATTGCAACAAAAGATTTCCCTTTACCCTACTTGTGGAGGAAGACCTCCTAGGGAAAATTCGTAACTTGTTTGAGTTAAAGATAAGTCATCCGCTCAATGTTAGCCAACGGTTCAAGGAAGACAATGGTGTGGAGTTTGACCGGGGAAAAATGTGAAAACTGACTGTCGGTGAGGATGAATAGTTATTGCAAGAATTGACTCCAGCCGAAGATGCCCTACATGAAGAAAAGGGTAATGACAACACTTTATCATCCCAATTAGAACGAGAGTCACGGTGCTGAAAACAACGAATTGATTATGCATATTTCTGGACGTAGTTCATTTGTAACAGTCATTATAGCGCTTGTAATTTATTTATTTTTTTTAATAATTTACGAATATGTACTTGTATTTCATGCAAAAATTATTTGCATTTCCTTTTCCTGCAATCTATGAAAATCAACTTCTAGTATTATTTCGAACTTTTCTTTCAATTTTTATTAAAACTTTACATTTAACGGAGGGTTCGATCGAGCCAATCGTTTCCGGACGCTTGCTTAAAATGCCCGACCGAAATAGTATCTCCGTATTTTGAACCCCCAAAAAAAAAAAATAGTATCTCCGTATACAGGGATTGCTTCCCCCCCAATGGACACTCCCCGTCACCTCCATGTATCAAATCCCCCCAAGGATCGCCGTACCCCACAACCCGAGACCTTTCGTTATCCAAACCAGCTCGGTCCCACGTGCGCTCAACCGCTCGGATCCCGACACGTAGGACTCCCGCGACGCATCACCGACCGCGAAAGCCGCGTCGCGATAACGACCCGACCCGGACCACGACGTCAACGGGCCGTGGGGCCCACCTGCGGGCAGACGCGCCCCCCCCGCGGGAAAAAAAAGAGACGCGGACGTGGCGCCTTAACTACGCCGTACGACGATTCCCGCTTCGGCCTGGACGGAAGAGGACGTGGAGATCCGCGGGAGCACCAGTTCTCCCGCCACGCGGCGGCCGCCCCACGAACAGAACAGTCGTCGGGAAGGAAAAACAGAAGAAACCCCGTCCTCGCCATGCAGCCACGCCACGTGTCGCCGAGGCCCACGGCCCCTCCCCGACCCCCCGCACGCCCGACACGTGTCCGTCCCCGGGAAGCCAAGGGGAAAGTGGGGGAGATCCAACTTGCGTCTACGGAAATTCTCATTAGCTGTCAAACGGGAGGATTCGGTGGGACTGCCTCGTTTATCTCGCAACGCATCCCTTCGCCCGTCGGTCCCGACACGTGTCGCTCCCTCCCGGCTCCTCCCGTCGCTATTATTACTGCTCCCCGCGGAGGAGCTACAACGTTGTCCAAGATACCGTGTGAACGTTTCATCTTCTTCCTCCTTCTTCCTCCTCTGTTTTGCTGTATATCTTTCGAAGAACAAGAAAAAGGTCTTGCCTTTGTCCGTGTTGGAGGCTGATACGATGTTGGGGTCGAAAGAGGAAGAGCTCGAGGACGCCGAGCTCGATTTGGTCTTGTCGATCGGGGGTTCGTACGGGAGATCCGAGAGAGCGAGGGAGCCCGGGAAAGGTCTCGCCTTGGAGGGCGCGTTGGGGTCGAGCGGCGAGGATTCGGGGGGAGCTCGAAAGGATGGGCCTGTGTCTCCGGGATCGACGGGGTCGGATCTCGAGACGGGCGGGTCGGGGTCGGAGTCGGACCCGGAGAGGAAGCGGGCAATGCAGGCCATGGGGAGGTTCGAGGCGATGAGGAAGAGGGAGGAGAAGCGGCAGAGGAAGGGGGCCGGCGGCGGCGGCGGCGCGGATGACGCCGGCGGGAGGTCCGACCCGGCTGGAGAGCCCGCCCGGAAGAAGGCGAAGGAGGAGGGTGCGAATGTGGAACCGGGCGCCGAGGGGGCGGCGGGCACTGCCCATCCCGCGTGCCCGCCGTACCTGGTGGTGCCGGTGCAGTTTCCGTACGGTCCGTTCGTGAACGGGTACGGGTTCCCTTACTGGGTTCAGGGTCCGGGTAAGGACGATGGGGCTTGGGGGTTGGGGCAAAATGTCTCGGAGCAGAGCAGCAGCGGGAAGAAATCGGCGTCCTCGAATGGGTCGCAAGTGTGCAGCTCTTCTGGTGTCTCCGATTGCCAGGGTTGTTCTGGGCGCCAAGGTACTGTCTCTTTTGGACTTGGTTCTTGATAATAGAAATCAGAGTTTGACTCTATGGTCCGTTGATGATTTGTTGATTCTTTATTTACAACCAGTTAGACAAAGTTTGTTCCTTTTCCTGAGATTCTTCGTTGTCTGGATGTTGGGCAAGTACAACTCTGCTTGCTTGTTGTTTGCCACTGAGAGAGAAATGGGATGAATGTGTGCATTGCTAAGAGAATCAACCTTTATAGAGAAATAATATTATATTGCATCGCCCATCTTGTGAGTTGATGTCGTTTAGGCATTCATGTTTCTAGGATGTTGATATATAGATTGTCTGGTCGGAATTGTTTCCGTGTGATCAAAATGAAAACTAAGCTTTCTAGCGCAGGCGTAATTCGTGTCAGCACATACAGCACGTATCCGTTTTTAGTTTCTGAGCGACACTGATGATCTTTTCTTTGATTTTTTTGCAGGTGGCACTAGCTGCGATGCCAAAAACCAATCCACTGCGAGCAGCAGAAAGAGACGATTGCCCGAGCGGAATTCTCCCCACCATCAATCGAAGTCTGCTGAACTCACGGACGAGCCAAAGAACCTTCTTGATGAGAAAGCCGATTCCACAAGTCCTACCAGGTCGACGGACCCATCTAAACCGAAAGAAGATACCGGTTTAGAAACGCAAGGCCCACCTCGGAATCCCTATAGAGAATGTGCTGACCAAAGGTCTGCTTCACCCAATGGAGGTGCCGGAAAGCCTCCGAGGCCTTCGCTTCCTCTCCTTAGGATGCCGCGCGTTTCAACGACAGGAAACGGCCTGAACGGCAAGACAGTCAATGGATTCCTGCACAAGTACACAAAGGCAGAGATCAGCATTGTTTGCACCTGCCATGGATTCACTTTCTCGCCGGCTGAGTTTGTGGAGCATGCTGGAGGCACCAACGTATTGCATCCTCTCAGACACATCACGATGCTACCTTAGGTACTTTTTTACGGAGATGTTGGGGTTACATAATGTTTATGCTCAAACTGTAGGCTCTTTTGGGCACTTTTTATGCCCCTCTTCCTAGAAGTTGTATAGATAGATAGGTGATGGCGGGCATGTTAAGTGTGGAAAATCGATGTAGAGCTGAGATCACAAGAATGTGGGCGATTCCCGGGAGGATATTGGTTTTGTATTTGTTTCTCCTTTTCTTTGACTCGCTTCGAGGAGCATTTAGATGGATGAAGTTGTGAATAGCTTCCTCGCTTGCTTCGAAAGTAATTGAAAAAGTATGTTGCTGTGATGCTTGGCCGATCTTTCACCTTTTGCTCAATCGGAGGTCGAAAATATCGGGTTTGGGTTGTTTCCTCGACATCTCGGACATAAGATGGGTCAATATGGGTCAGGATGAAATATCTGCAGCTAGACTACATGTATGTGAAAACTTGACCGAACCACAGGTGTGTGGAAGGCGGCAAGGGCGATTCATGATCAGGACGCGATCGCATAATTATCAGGCCTTGTACAATAAACTGAGGACCTTATCAAAGGTATCTTTTGGATTTGGTTTTAGCAGCGTCTGATGAAGTAACTTACGAGAAGAAAGATCATTAGGCTTCATGTACCTGTAGCATTTGATCAGACTAATAGCTCCCCAGTGTTGACAGATTGATGACTCAATACTAGGGGTGTCAATGGGTCGGGTCGGGTTGAGCTTTCATGATACCCGACCCGACCTGAAACCAACAGGGTCGCACTTGACCCGCCCAGACCCGGCCCAAGACCCTGTTCAGCGTACACTCCAAGGCCCGGGTCGAGCCGGGCCGGGTTGGGCTGGGTTTCGGGTCGGGTTTCGGGGTCGGGTGCTGCTGACTGCGGACATTACACATTGAAATCGAAACTTCGCGCTTCTATCTACCACGATGTTATCTCAAAACAAATGACCTTCCAACAGCTTCCAGTCGAAACAAAAACCAAACGCAAAGGCAAGATTCACAGAAAGAATGCCATTTACACAGACTCCCACTGAAACTTCACTCTTTGGCCAAAAGAACAAAAGTGGTAATCGGACGACTACGCAAAGTTCCGACCAACAGCAGTGCTTGTTCGCGGGAAGGAATGACAGAAAAACTTACCGTTCAGAACAGCGCCAGCCTCTACTTGAGAGAGACGGAATTTGATGACCCACTCAAATTAGCCTTCTCCACTCCTCCGGACGCCTTGTCCTCCGCCAAATCCTCGGCTAAATCCTTCGCCGGCGACACAATTGGACTCTGCCGCCCCCGGATCCGGTCCTCAGCGCGCAGACGGTTGCATATGCACGAGCATCATCGGTGAATCAACGCTTTGCTGGAGAGCGAGTGGAAATCAACAGATAAGGAAAGGGACTGAAGAATTTATGACCCGGGAAAAACCGGAACTCACCACCCCCAACGGGCATGGAGCAAGAAGCGCAGATGCGGCGGCTTCACAGCGGAGGCTTGTAGAAGAAACCTGGAGGAAAGCGAACGGCGATGGAGGCGATCGATTTTGTCGCCGATCGGCTGGCTTAAATCTAGGGTTTTTTCATCTCGATTTTCTGCGCGCAGAAAGGGGAGAGAGAATGGGAGAGAGACTGAGAGAGGGAGATGGATCGACCCAGAGTGTCAATGGGTCGGCCCATCTAACCCCAACCCTTTGATACTCCAAATTTTAGGGCCATATTCCAAGAAAATAAAAACCCGACCCCAAAAGACCCCAAATTTTAGGGCCGAGCCGGGCCGGCGAGGGTCGGGCCGGGCCGGCGCGGGTCTTTTTGACATCCCTACTTAATACAATGTTTGTTGACCTGAATAGTGGCTGAAATCACTGCAATCCTTTGTCCATTTTGCGGGTGCAAAACAACTCAAGCTCAACAATTACGAAGAAACTTACAAAAGCCAGCTTCAGCAGTCGACCTTTCTGTTGTGGCTCATGAATGTGCGGTTTGGCATTACATTCCCTGTTCTCTGTATGAATTTACTCTTCCTACATATGCAGAACTAAGCAACAAGGCATGTTTGCTCTGCGGTCATATCAATCAAGGATTCGTACCCAAGTGACTCACGTTATTTATCAAAACCGTGCTACGATGAGGGTAGGTTCACTTTGATCATGTAGTTAGAATCAGACATTACTCTTTTTAGCTATAATAAAGATGATATGGATATTTAATTGTACTACACATGAAATACCCTAACTCCTTGTGTTTAGATGCATTCTCAATTAGCCACTTACTCGGACATGGTGCTCTAAGTACCATGTTAAGCACCGTTTCGATGCACTTCCAGAAGGTCTTGCGTTGAAAAATCAGCTCGGACCTTCAATCTGCAGCTGTGATTAAATTGGAACGTTGCTTTTTACGCGCCATGTTTTTGGCCGGATTACTACCGAGTGTGTTTCGAGGCACTTCTATGGTGCGTCAGTGTAACGTACAATATTATGATATGTCGTCATAGTTAAGGAATTGGAGGTTACAAATTGCCCAGTACATAAATATTTTGCGAGAATCCGGCAGCTTTTCATAGTGAAGCAAATCCATCTTTTCATGAATGTACCAAGTGTTGGCGGTTTATGGTATATGTTACATCAATAATTTCACCACAAATTTCTTGATGACACCTTCCGGATAAGTGTCCTCTCTCAACACATGGTGCTTCACTGATACCACGTAAAGCCATTTCCTTTTGCATGGTTGGCCTTTGCAAGTTAGAGTCTTGATAAATTCCTCCTTAAGTCGACAGTAATCCCTCCAAAAAATGGCTCGGTCATGATTAGCTTATCCACAAACCTTTGGCGACACCCTCCTTTATAAGCATCTACTATGAAACAACACCGATGCTTCCCTGAGAACATCCAACAAACCACAACAGTAGTTGCCAAGGAGAAAATCCCAACCATGGCCTCCTCATTCAGCAACCATATCTTGTTGCTCGTGTCACTCGCCCTCATGTTCTCGGGTGGTGCAACCCACCTCGCGGTGAATGAAACCAGCGCCCACAGAGATTTCGTGATCAGCCCGTTCAAGACCGTGGTGCAAGTGTTTAACCGCCTCTACGGCACGAGCTTCACGATTCACTGCAAGTCGAAGGATGACGATCTGGGGACTCACAAGGTCGGCCCCAAGGGGAACTACCGGTTCGAGTTCAGGGCCAATTTTGCGGGCACCACGCTGTTTTTCTGTGGGGTTTCTTGGGCACAAGGGTGGACCGTGTTCGATATTTACTCGACTAAGAGAGATATCTACCGTTGCCAAACTTACTGCAAGTGGGGAGTCCTTGCTGATGGCCTTTATGGTTATAGGCAGCAGGATAAAGTTTGTGACCTTAAAACCCCATTCAAGAACAAGACCTAGTCCGATACTCTGATGGCAAGGATTGGCATGAAGAACCCCAACAAGGGTTGAACTCGTAAATGATGGATTCCGTCATTTCATGTAATAAAAAGCAAATTGATAGTGATTGTTCTTCGCTCAATTTCAATCGTTCCTCAAATATTACTATCGTAAATTTCCGTTATTTTGGCCTATTGCGAGGCCTCCACTTCCTCTCCTTCAAATGAAGCGGGTCTCGATGACGGGATATGGTCTGAATGGCAAGATGATCAACGGGTTCTTGCACAAGTACACGAAGGCAGAGATCAGCATCGTCTGTGCGCGTCCAGGGGGTGTGTTTCTTTCTGGCCGCCGAGTTTGTGGAGCATGCTGGAGGTGCAGATGCGTTGCATCCTCTTAGACACATCCACAAGAATGAGGTAAATCAGCATGAGACTCTCAAGTTTGGTTTCGCAAGATCTCCAACAGCTACAAACTCAAAAATGCATGCACCTCGGTTTGGACAGAGATGCACATCAATCTGGTACGGGTCAGAACGATGACGTTCCTCTACGTGTTTGCGAAATTTTAACCGATCTATAGGACAACAGTTCATGATCTGGACACAATCGCGTAAATCGCATAATCGTCGGACCAATGTAATAATCCGTTTGGTTAGGAGGGTCTCAACCACGAAGTCCGAGGAGATCAAAGACTGCATGCATGGCTTCTAAATGTCTGCTGACAGATCAGTGATTCAAACGGCATTGTTGACTTGACTTTGGCTAAGATTAGTATAACCGTTTCTGTATTATGAGTCCGAAACAACTCAGGCTCCATTTCATTTTATGAGGGTCAACCGACATGAAGAAACTTACAAAAAGTCCAGCTTCAGCAATTTTGCTTTCTGTTTTGCCTCGTAAATATGCGCTTTGGCATTTACCTTGCCTTGGTCTCCATAACTTTCTTCGTTTTCGGGGTCTGGTCTCACTTACTTAAATATTCTCACCAAGTAAGTCCTCTTCATATAGAAATAAGCAAATATCAACCAAGGACTTCAACAATCAGTCCTCACAACAATTCGTGGGTGCACTCACTAGACTCATGTGGTGCCGTGCGCGCAGAACTACAAGTTCAAGTTCAAGACCAATGTCGGGATGACAACATTCTTCTTCTGCAGGGTCGCCTGGGAGAAAGGGTCGGGCACGTACAACATCCACAAGGCCCACCGGGACACCGCGCGGTGCCCAGACCTCTGCAAGTGGGCGGTCGAAGAGAAGGGCATGCAAGGGTTCAGCCAGAGCGACGGAGCGAGAGACTTGTTCTTCCCCTTTACTTGACTTGAGGGGGATTTGATTTGGTTTGTGTAATAAAATTCAGATTCATGTGGCCCAATTTGTATCTTGATGAGTCTTAGTTCTATTTGTAATGCTGGGGAATGCCCCTAAGCTTCTGTACGTCATCTTATAAATACTACTTACATTTACACCAAAAAAAAATTTGTATCCTGATGAGCGCAAATACTTGTGCAGATCAGTATGTACTTTGGTCCAAGAATAAAGTGTATGAACTTTTTATACAATAAGATTTTATCTCATCACAGTTAAAATACATAGATTACTCTAAGTTTCTTCAGCTTTTGAATGGAACTTGCCAGTGGCACTCTCGACTTACTAATTAAATATTAGGTCTCTTCCTTTTTTTTTACTGTTCAGAAGAAATTTATATTACAATGCCATAAATTTCTTTTTCCATGTCAGATCATAGTCAAAATTAGCTATGTGATACAATAATCGATTACTGTGATGATTATGAAGAGGACTCCGTTTGAATTCAAGATAAGATATAATTATTGGAAAACTATGCTTTCATCTTCTCTTGGTATATATAAATTGTTTCACTAATTTCAAAACTCCTGTCATCTATTTTGATCTAGATGAGTTCTCTCAAGAAATTACAAAAGTATTTAATTGGAAAATCTTTGAAGAGAGAGGGAGATCAGAACAGATTATTGACAGTGAATTTCATTAAATCAATCGGTTGAAGTTTGCTTTTCCTTACACAGAAAAATTCTTCAGAGCCAAAATTTGAGTTCAGCTCTTCTTGCTATGCGTAGCAACCGGATGCAACCTCCGAATCCCTTTGATGGCCCTGGAAATCCTGACCAAATTAGGCCTCACTATTCCCAGATTTTTCACCTTCCCAGCTGATAACTTAAGTGCATCTAAGCAACACAATTCTTCGCTCGCTCCAACTTTATCACCGTCCTCGTAGTTGCCTGTCCGTCTTCTTTCCTTCCCCGACTTTGTCTCGCTGATCTCTTCGTTCCATTTGTCCTCGTACTGCTCCCACAACCGATCCATCCCCTCTCCAGTACCATACCCGTTGCCGTGCCGCTCCTCGTAGAGCTTGCACGCCAAGGTTCTCCTCCATTCCTTTTCCTTTCTCGTTGCTGACCCGAAATTCCAAAGATTCGAGGGCATCGCTTGGAAGCCCCCGTTTTCTTGAGATTTCTTTAATCCAACGTTTCCAGCAACAATTTTTTCATCGCCAGATGATGCATCGGATTCTGTTTCCAACATTGGTTTTTCTTGTCGATAAGCTTTCTTGGATTCTGGGGCAGGTGGGTTGACTTCTCTGGATTCCATTCTGGAAGTATTAGGTGGCCACATCGCTTCCTTTTCCTGGAAAATTTTGCGCACCAGTTTATCCTGCAATGCTCCCTTCAAAGTGTAAAATGCACCAACACCATCACGGTCGTCATCCTCCTCACATCATCGCCACCATTATGAATCAAGAACTCGTCGACCAGCATTTCAGGTACTTCTTCATTACTCTCAGCTGACTGCGAATTGGAAACTCCAAACAGAAACTTGTGCACTTCAAGCTCCTCAAAGACCATGTCCAGTCTCAATTTCTTCGAATCGCCACGAAAACAAAACCCGTTTTGGATTCAGATGGATTTGCAAGAAAATCATTAAAAGGGACAAGTTGGGTAGAGATGTTGAGAAGAGCGAGGAGGGAAAGGGAGGTGGTTATGAAGAGAGGACAGGGGCAAGAGACCAGTAGCTTAATGAGGAGGCAAGATGAGAAGCAGATGAAGCAGCAAATGTATAGAAGGTGACATAGAATGAGAGTCCAAATGAGCGTTAAGTATGAAAAAAGGAGCCTAAAGAATTCATGTTTCTTTTTTTAGTGCATGACATGCAGTCCCAGACATATTAAATTCCCTAGTAGTTGAACTGGTGTTGGAAATGGGAGAGAAGGAGAAAGTTAATGATGTTACTTTGAAAGTGAACGATGAGAAAGTCGTAACCATCGGATTATTGCACGAGTCGTGTCATGGAGTGCAGAAATTACATGAAAATTCATGATTTTTTATTGAGAATCGGTGCGAGTCTCAAAAACTTCTACATTTGTATAATTTGATCTAGTTCCATGAGTTAGACAATACTTACTCGAGCAAAGAGAATAAACCAATGGAAAAGATGGTGTATCATTGAGCAAGACTATATATGATTAGGTACTTTCAATTGCCATGGGAGCAGTCCATGCTTCTCCGAATTCGTCCTACCTTGAAAATCTGCCTCCAGCTCTTATCTTTTATTAAGTGCCAAATCAACCTCTGGAAAAAGAATCAGAATATTTTCTAGAATGTGTGTCTCACATGAGCCTATGCGGTAAGGTCGTGGCCTACAAAATAGAATAACACCTCTACATCACTAATCGCCGCCCACATGTTTCACAATGATTGTAAGATGCACATATATATTAATAGGACATGTCTCTAGACAAATTTGACCAAATTGGTGCATTGTCGTAGCATATTATGTGGTTAAATACATTTGCATTCGAATTTTCGATGTATTCTTATGAGAAGGCATGCCCACGAAAAAAAAAATTCCATCTCTTGATATAGAAAACCTTGCACATGATCCTTTGAACGCGAATGACATATATGGTCGATATAATATGGCAAGATAAAGATACCCTCCCATGGATGATGGAGAACACTGCTAGTGGCGCATGATTAGGTGGTTGAGCTCAGGCTTTGCAGTGTCGTGCGACTGCGGTGGTTGTTAGAATGTTGCGCTTGGACCTTTACTGAACTACACCTACAATAGATCTACGAGCCTAAATCCTTGTTAAGGAACTCCGAAAATTATAATAGACAATGATCTAATTGTCATGCGTAAGTATCTAATATAATGCCATGATGGAGATATTCGTCTGTATCTTGCCCCTCGAATTGGCAGCGTTTTTAGTCATGCAAAAAATAAAATGTCATGAACAAATTTAGTATTTAATAAGAAAAAGTTTTCGTAATATATTTATCTTAAGGAAAGAACGCTCTCCAGCTCTCCGCCATGTGAAGTCGCTCTGGTTCCGCAACCTGTACTGGGGCGGAGTTCCAGCACTCCCACCCTCCGCCCTTTGCCCACCTCCCTATGTCAGACTTTCTCTCACCATCCGCCATTCCCACTTCCGTCTACCCGTGATTGTTCAAAGCCCCTCTGCTCTATCCTTCTCTGTGGGTGAGCTGCTTTCCCTCCGATCTGTTTCGATCTTCCTCTGTTTGGTGCGGCGCTCATTGTGTTGTGCTTTCTTTCACTGGGGTTTTCTCTCTGCTTATCTTATTGGTTCGTTCCCCCCCGTTGTTTTTCCCGAGTGAAGTTCAGTGTGTGTTCGTGTCCTTCATTGCTGCTCATCCTCTCCCAGCCCCTCCTCATTGCTGTCTTCCTCCCCTTCATTGCTGTCTACTCCTTTGCTGTTGCTCTATCCCTTGCTCCCCATCTCATTCGTATCCTTTAGATTTCCTTTGCTCCCCATCTCTCACCTATCTCTCACCCATCCCTTGCTCCTCTTTTTCCCTCGCTCCCCACCACCTTCCCCTTAGTTTTCTGACCCCTTTCAGCCCCTCTTCCTCTCTGTTTCCTGAGTGAAGTTCTCCGTCCATTTCGCCTTTCTTTGAGCACATCATCCTCCCCCCCCCCCCCAACACTCTCGCAACTACCTCTGTGATCGTGTCCCCGCCCAGCTGCTCATGGTGTGTTGACGCTCATGGTCCAAGTCCTCGAGCGCATCAATCCAACCCCTTCTGGCCGGAGGCAACGTTTCTTATTGCCAGGAAAAACTTCGAAAATGGTGGTTAGAACACAACGCGGTAGAGGAGGCTCTAGGAGAGCCTCATCGTTGAACACAACAGAACTCAAAGCTCTATCCATCGAAATAAAGAATAGTCTCTTCAGTTCTGAGTAAGAGAAAGAGGCAGCCTCTCCAGGGGCTGAAACAGGATTTGAAGCGGGCTTGCCAGAAACACTTTCAGTCGCCCCCCCTAATTGTAATGATGATATTTTGGCTGAGGTTACTTGTACCGTTGGAGACGCTGAATTGGGAGATGGAAATCTAACCGATGTTGTTGATGGAGTTAGCAATTGTACTTCTAATTCTAGAACAGCGGCTGAACCTAAACATGTCCAAGCACCCTTTTTGGTAAACTCTATTGCTACCACATCATGTATGTCTTGGAAAAACATTGCTATGGGTAATTTTGCCCAGTCTGCTGAATTAGAATTTCACCCACCAGTCAAGAGTGGCGATAAACTTATCACCGTTCCCCCACCCGAGGTTCTAGACGAGGGTAAATCTCACTTTCAAAACTGCCTAGTGGGATACTTCCTCACCGCAAAAATATCATTCTATCAAGTCAGAGGAGTTATAGAAAAATTATGGGGCAAAGAGAACATTCTCGATATTACAGCCACGGAGGATGGCTTCTTCTTTTTTCGCTTCTCCAATATTGCGAAAATGGTGGAAGTGATGGAGGTCGGGGTATGGGACATTGCAGGAAAACCTATGTTTTTGCAGAAATGGCACCCCCATATAAGATTAGAGAGAGCGAAGGTCACCTCTGTGCCTATTTGGGTCCGTCTTTATAATGTCCCCCATGTTCTCTGGACCAAGAAAGGTTTAAGTTATGTATGTAGTGTTCTTGGTAGATCTTTATATATGGACTCGGCCACAGAAAACGGCGGTTGTCCTATGCGAAGGTATGTATCCTAATGAATGTAGATAGATCATTCCCAGGGAAATTCGATATCGACATGGGTAAGGGCGGCTTCTTTGAGGTCACGGTTCACTACAGCTGGTTACCTGTTAAATGCAAGACTTGCAATAGCTTTGGCCACAAAGATTGTAGAGCTACAAGTAAAGAAATCTGGGTTCCTAAGACCCAAAAAAATGTTGCCCCTCCTAACTCAGTCTCAACTCATCGGGGGACGACAGCTACTGAAGAAGTCGAATGGGTTACTCCGGTTCCATCGAATCCATCTCCCACCCCGAAGAATATTGCTAACCCCATGGTTACCCAGTCGAATGCCCATGCTGATGTAAGGTATGATCCGTCTTCCTCACAATATACGCTAGTTGGTAGAAAGGAAAGAGGATCAAATAGTAGAAACAAAGATGACAACAATACAGTGCCTTCTGATAATAGATTTGCTCCTTTGGAAGTGGAGGCTACTTCGGATTGTTCCGTGGATACATCGGGGGCATTGGGGGATGTAACGGAGCCTCCTGATTTATGAATATTGTCACATGGAATGTAAGGGGCCTTAATCATAGCCCCAAGAGAAGGGAACTGGTGGACTTTGCTCTATCCCTAGATTCCCAAATTCTTCTTTTGTTTGAGCACAAGATTAAAGAAGAGAATGCTGATTTTATAATTGACAGTAATTTTAGAAGTTGGAGTTATACTCATAACTATATGTACAGCAACTTGGGTAGAATATGGATCCTATGGAAACCGTCCACGCTTAGTCTAACTGTTTTGGAGGTATCTGCCCAAGTCATACATTGTCTCATTGAAAAACCTGGGGTGGAACCTTTTTTGCTATCTGCCATCTACGAGTACAATACCGAAGTTGAGCGGAGGCTTCTTTGGCGCAATATTTCAAATTTTTCTTCCGGACAAACAAGAGACCTGCCTTGGTTGTTAATGGGGGATTTCAATGAAACAAGGGACACAAGCGAAAGGATTGGCTCGACTGTTCGTTGGACTGCAGGTATGGAGGAACTAATACCATGATTGAAGAACTTGCACTTATTGAACCTCCGTCTACAGGACCTTTCTTCACATGGACAAACAAAAGCATGGGAGATAATTTCAAAGCGAGCAAAATTGACAGAGTCCTGATTAATGCAGAATGGCAGAACAAATACAACCACTATTCAGTTGAATTCCTGCTTCCAGGAGTTTCAGACCACTCCCCATGCTTGGTGCGACTTGACACCACATATAGGAGAAGGAAACCTTCTTTTAAATTCTTTAATTTCTGGACCACTAGCCCGGGTTTCCTGCCTTTGGTGTCCACTTGCTGGCAACAGGTTATCAGAGGATCTAGAATGTTCACAGTGGTGGCAAAGCTCAAAGCACTGAAACAACAACTCAAGGGACTGAATAGATCTCAGTTTGGTGACTTACACTTAAAGGTCAAACAAGCTAAGGAGAACCTAAAACAACTTCAACAGGAGCTTGTGATTGACCCCTTTAATCCCATTACTCGGGCGGAAGAAAAGGCGCAGCTGGAGGAGTTACTTGTTCTTAGTAGACATGAAGAGGTTTTGCTTAAGCAAAAATCTAGAAATCTATGGCTGAAGGAGGGTGACAATAATAGTAAGGTTTTCTTTGCCTCCATGATGCGGAGGAGTGCCCAGAACAGGATCAATCATATCAAACTCGAGGATGGCTCTACTATTACCGAGGAGGGTGCTCTCAAGAATGCAATTATAACGTATTATCAGCATCTCCTTGGAAATCCCAGTCTTACTAGCATTCCATATGAGAGATATGCTTCTTTATTTCATGAAGATATCAATACTCTTATTATCTTTCCTGTAGTTCAGAGATCAGAAATCCTCAGAGTCTTAAAAGGTTTCAACGACTTTAAAACTCCAGGTCCAGATGGCTTTAATAGTCTATTCTACAAAAGCGCCTGGCACATCATAGGGAAAGACATTGAGGAAGCTATCATGGAATTCTTCTCGTCAAAAAGAATGATGAAGTCTATAAATTCCACGTTGATTACACTCGTACCGAAGGTTCAGAATCCATCTTTCCTCAAGGAGTTCAGACCCATTTCTTGTTGCAATGTCATATACAAGATCATATCTAAGCTTCTTGCAAAACGGATTAGTTGCATGCTTCCGAAGATTGTCGGCCTCAACCAAACTGCTTTCATCAGCGGACGACAGATCTCGGAGAATATTCTGCTATGCCAAGACCTTCTACACAACTACCACAAGGGAGGAAATGGTAAACAGGTGGCAATAAAGATTGACCTCATGAAAGCCTTTGACGTGGTACAATGGGATGCAGTCCTCGGGGTTCTCAAAGCTATAAATACTCCTCACGACTGGGTTGCTCTGATAGCTGAATGCATTACTACTCCGACATTTTCAGTGAACTTCAATGGTGAGTAGGTTGGCTATTTTAAGAGTACGAATGGGCTGCGACAAGGAGATCCACTTTCTCCATACCTTTTTGTAATGGTTATGGAAATCTTTAACAAAATTGTTCGTGCGAAAGTTGCTACTTCTTCTTTCAAGTATCACTGGCATTGCAAAACGCAACGAATCACACACGTATGCTTCACAGACGACTTGTTATTATTTTCCCATGAAGATGTAGATTCCGTCCTTTGCCTTGTAGACGCCCTAAACGAATTTGCAACTCTCACAGGACTGCGTTTCAACCCGGACAAATGTCAAATCTTTTTCTCTGGGTTGAATGAGGATGAGAAGCACCTTATACTGGATCACACGCCTTTTTCTACAGGTACCCTCCCCATCAGATACTTGGGTATCCCCCGTATTACCAGAAGACTTACCCACACAGACTGTAAGAGTCTTACTGATAAGATCTTCAAGAAAATTGAAAATTGGGGCATGAAGCATATCAGTTATGCAGGGCGTCTACAGTTAGCCAAATCAATCCTCATCTCCATATGCACCTATTGGATGCAAATATTCCTACTTCCAAAGCACACTATATACGAGGTTGAGAAAAGGATTAGACAATTCTTATGGGCTGGTAATTCAGCAAATCATGGCTCGCACAAGGTTGCATGGCAAGTAGTATGCTCACCTAAAAGGGAAGAAAGATTAGGATTGCCTAATTTGAACTAATGGAACAAAGTATTGCTAGGTCGCATGCTGTGGATTCTTATCAATCTTCCATCCTCTTCCCTTTGGAGTACTTGGGTTCACAACACCAAATGCAGAGGCACCCCAATTATGCAGCTCGACATCAAGGGCAGTATGGCTTGGAGCTAGAGATGTCTCCTCAAACTGCGACCTGTTCTAACATCGATTATACCGAGCCCAAAATACTGTTGCCAAGATATATATGATGAACTCAGACATGTGAGATCAGTTGTGGAGTGGTATAACCTAATTTAGACCAACAGCATTAGCAAACACAATTTTATTGGTTGGCTAGTTTGCAGAGATAGACTACCTACGGCAAGAATCGTCGCACAATTGATACCTTCAGTGGATATTCAGTGTAATTTCTGTAGGGCTGGTATTGAAGACAGAACACATTTATTCTTCAAGTGTGAATGGACAAACAACATATGGCGTTGTATCCTAGCACAACATGGGATCAGGCGCCTTTTAGGAGGATGGAATGGAGAACTTCAATGGATGATTAGGGCAATAAAAGGCAAAGACTTGGCAGCAAGACTCCTCAAGTTGTCCTTTCTAGCAACCATATATTGCATTTGGATGGAGCGCAACAGCAGACGGTTTCAAAACAAATCAACTGACTTTCATATTCTTTTGGCTAAGGTTCGTAAAAATGTCAGAGGTAGAGCGAGCTCTACCAAAAAATTAGACCTTCCCAGACAAATGTTGTATTAGCTACTATATGAAGACTTCCTACCTCCATCTTTTTGAATTATTAGCACTTTTTGTAATGCTGGGATGCCCCTAAGCTGCTGTACTTCATCTGGTTTATAATACTTACATTCACACCAAAAAAAAAGTATTTAATAAGAAAAAGCTTTCAATAATTTGAGCGGCGATAAATCCACTGATTTTGTAACAATAATAATGTTTAGGTGAGACCGTGAGAGTCTAATTGCGCATCTAAAGTGATTTCAACAAAACTGGATCGGGCCAACGGGTCGTGGATTACGGCCCATGGATGATGGATACACCAACATACCAAACCCGACCCTTTCCATTTCGACCCGAAAAGAAAGAAGGAAAGAGAGAAGGAAGCGAGTCGCTTCGGTCTGAGTCCTCAGTTCGAGCTTTCCGGGCGCCGCCAGTCCGTGCAGAGCTCGCTCCGACGGCCACGGTCGTGCCGTTGCCTCGCCGGATTCTGCCGCGACCGGCAATGTCTGAAGTCGGGATTCTGTTCTCGCAGGTGAGGCCTTGGCTTTCCTTTTGTGGGTTCGGATCTGAACATTCTTGGAGGGTCTTGTATGTTCAGGCGTCTGACCATGTCTCAAAGTTTTGATTTTTTGTGTTCTTGTGGGATGAAATCGCTTGGTTAGCTGGTGGGGTTGTGCCTTTTGGTTGATATCTCCTAGCGAAGTGTCAAATGGAGGTGGACTCTTTCGGATTCCTTTCCATGGATCCGCTCCTTCTGCTTCTTGTGATCTCACTAGCTGTAGTTAACGAGGCGTGTGTGATCTTTCTGATGCTGATGTTAGTGAGTTCTTGTGATCTTGCTACTTGAAGAAGAAACGCACATATCGAAGGCTTCCCAGGCGATTTGATTGAAGCCTGAGGAGCTCATATCTGTGCAATACGAAATCATCCATCTTTCTATGCAGTCAATCCTCTTGATGTCTTATTCTTTGGATTCAGAGGATTTCAAAGATGTTGATGGACATTCGCTTAAAGAAATCGATGCGTGTTTTGTATTTCCGTTTTCTTTCTGCTGTGAACGGTTTCATGGCGAGGATGCCTTGTTCCATTTGTTTCCTCTTGTTGATTTAACATACCGTGCAAAATCCGTGAATGGCAATGATGAAGTAGGAAATACTTGACGTCCCGTGTAGGAGCTTGTACTTGGTCCATAGAGATGGGATGTTTGGTGTGCTCATTTAAATTTGTGCAGCATTGGACTCCTTTCTGCTTCATTCTCTTACTTGCCTCTAGCTATATTTGATTGAATGCTGCTTGAGAATGTATTGTCCGATGAAATAGAATCGCAAGGATAGCCTAGTTTTTTGGGTGAAATATATTCGAAGTTGGACACAGGTTTGCTCAAATTTTATGGATCACGTCCCCAATTTGTTGTTACTCGGGGTTTTTTTTGCTATTCGGTGATGATTTTGAGTCAGTACACTTTACTTAACTAGATAATTCAGAAGAAAAAACAGAAGAGGTTTTCTCTTTCAGCACACTGCCAGATGATGATTGGGATATTGCGCATGGGCTTTGAGTTCCATAAGGATGGATCAATGAAATATCCTCATAATTTGTCCCTGCTGATGGCAAAAATCTGTCAATCTTCTCACAGTATCTCCCTGGTAGCAACTTTTGAAATATCATTGTTTGTGATGGATGATTTTTTTGCGATACTAGAGCGGAAATTTCGTTTTCTCAAAGTTACATGTATGAGTTTCTCCTTTCGCATAAAAAATCATCTATTTTTAGTTAGTCCATACTTCATGCTTTTGTTTCTGGGGCTCTCTTCCTGTAATATTGTGTTTTTTGGTCTTGTACAGAATGGCTGGCTGATTGGATTGGTCAGAGAAAATATCAAAAACACGTTTACCTATTCTCCCAATATATGTCCTCAACACTCGTAGTGACCAGCTTACTTTTTCCTTCATCATCAAATGGAGGGGAAATATGCTCGTCCTTCGATAGGTACGTGCCATCGTTTTTCATTTACATGAAACGCGTTCATTTATCTCTGCATAAGCAGCAGCCTAGTGTAAATGAATTAGGATTTTAAGAGTTTCTTGATTTTGTATTTAAGATCGAGGTGCCTTCTGATATAGCCTCATCTCATCCTATGGACAACACTTACAGTGCTTGGTTTACTAAAGTTTTTTCGCAACTAATTGCTAGTTTCCTCCTTCAGGGTCAATTTTGCGATATCCATAGTCAACAATTAAGGTTGGAGATTGAAAACTAGTCTACTGTAAACCTCATTGGTGCCGCGAATAGACTGTGAGCACCAAGGAGGACGAGATCTATAAGGGCATCGTGTGGCTCAGGTCGCGACAACTTTGATGTCCCTTGCTTAAGTGTCTGATCATTTAAGTTTTGATTCGCATTTAGGCTTTCTAAGCACCACATAGTCGCAATCTTTTTCCCCTCGGAGCTTAAGTTATGTACTGTGCCTAATAGATTGTGTACAAGTAAGAAGCATCTGATTCCACTTTGAGCGAGCTGGCTAGATGATGATTGGGGATATTGCGCATGGGCTTTGAATTCCACTTTGAGGGGATTTTGAAATAATCTTGCTACATTATCCCATCTGATAGCAAAATTTCAATATTTATACATCTCTTAGCTCTGCATTCATTGCAACAATTTCACAATGATCGCATTGTTTCTCGGTGGATTAATTGTACTCCGAGATGATGCGACCGTGAACTGACAACATCAGTTTTGGCTAGAGGGTGTACTCTCATCGCTGATGTTTTCTTAGCTCTTTCGTAATTTGTTGGATCAGAAGAGAACCGAATGCCTCTCTGTTTTGCCTTTCGGTATATTGAGCTTGCCCTTGCAGCATGCCTTGCGATAGCATGTCGTCCTCTGAGTTCAGGAGACGTTCAGGTTTCTCTGCCACAACCATGATCAGCATGTCTTCTTTCACCCTCTGAAGATGCTAACATCTCTCCTGGGTGCTGGGGGATTCAGCATGACAACAAAGCAAACCCAGAAAGTGCTTGCTTCTGGAAGCACAACAACTGAAGCAGAGAGTGAGAGAACAAGTGACAACACTGTTGTTGGTCTTGTCTTCCTATGTTTGTTCACTCTCTTTGAACTGTTTGTTGATATCCACCCTTAACTCGTCAATCAATTTTCTTCTTTTTTTCTTTTTTTTTCCGCTTTATTGCGATTGGATGTGTCATGACGAAGAGGTCAATGAAATACATGTTTATACATAATTCAAGCCTAATTTGTTTCGAAATAAAAATGATTTTGTCACAAGACTAAGATTAGATAGTCTCAGTACTGAAAAGTAACCTTAAAACGTAACATTATCTTTGGCCATCCTCAAACATGCAGTTGGAACCACAAAAACTGCAAAATATACGAAATTTTTATCAATGGAATCACTGTTTGCTATTACTTTGCTCTTATAATCCATGTACTGCTCATTGATAACTTGTAAAAAAAGAACTCACAGGCCGGTCTCAAAACGGAGCAAATCTCTAAAGACTTGCGGAGGGCGGGTCAATCAATTTTCGGTGAGTGCTTTAGTTATGTCAATCGCGCGTCGAGAACAGTAAGGTCCGTACCGAGTCCCGATTGCAGAAACGCACACGAGCTCGACGCAAACCCGACGTGACGATTGGGACAAATATCTCGTCTCGAGGTGATGGATATCGACAGCATTCAAAGACCGCATCGTGTGATTTGACAAACTAATGTGACTTTGAGACATAGATACGAAATGGGTCTTGAGAAAGTTGCCGACAATTTAGACTGGTTTGTCGGCTCTACCAACTGCTTTTCACGCATTCGCTATTTCGTTGTGTGCCTATCTCCTGTGCCCCAATCTTAGGGATGCCTAAACAAAACCCTAAACAAACATGGACTGAAAATAGTTAATGGGAGAAGGGGGCAAAAAAAAAAAAGAAGAAATGCTTCGCTCATTAAATTAAATAAAAAGAAATGCTTACCGGAGGCGATGGACGCACACGTCAAAAAAAAAAATGATTATGATAACGAGTGTTGAGGAGTTTTGATTAAGTAAAAGATTAAAAAAAAATTACAGTTCTTAATATATTGATCGTCTTCGAGTCTTGTATACTTCAAATAAAATAAAGTTAATATCACGAAAAACTCTAAATTGATACATGTATGACAAATTTACCTCAAATTAATTTTTTGACCACCAAAAACTCCAAACGGGTATATTTGTGACAAATTTATCCTCCGTTAATTTTTGTTCAATTGATTTAATACAACGAAAAATCACAAATCGGTACTGTTGACACCAATAATTAATTAGGTTGTCGACAGTAAGATAAAATGATATTAAGGAAATATACAGGGTGAAAGGAATAAATAAAGATTATTAAAAGATGACGCGAGCCGCAAAAAAGTTGATTACGACAGCAAACAGCTGGCAGCCACCAAAATGTCCTGGCAAGTAATTTGGAAATTCAAAATTAAGAGGATTGAGGTCACTAAGGGGATAAATACCGCTCGAAGTTTTCGTACTACGGATAATCGACGGTTTCATTAGTACTGTGGATTATCGATGGAAATTATTATGAGATGGCCAGGCCATCGAGGTTATTGATAAGAAAGAAGAATGTGGCTATGCGCAATAAATAGCTTAATACACGTGGAAGGATGGGTGTCAAAATGGGACAAGCATCGATGACGGTTATCTCACTAAGAAGGATAGGTGTCAGAACGGGATAAACATCGATGACACTTATCTCATTAAGAAGAACAGGATAAAAATCGATTACAATAATTTCATTAGTGAAAGACAAGGGGCAAGACGGGATAGTACCAATGGCAGAGCAGATCGATGACGATTACTTTTACGAAAGGACAGATGTCAAAATAGAGTAATGTCAACAATAATTACTTCACGAAGAGGGATAAGTGTCAAAATCAGGACCAAGTCAAACAAACGGTTAAGTGGACAGATGTCATGTGTGAAACGTTAAAGACGGGATCAATGGTGGATATTGGTTGAACGATTATCTCATTCCCAATATAAATACTGCTCGACCGCTAGAAAAGCCCCCTGTGAGCACACAATCAAAATGCTATCTTTCAATTATCTTTACTTTCGAGTATTGTACTTTTAATTTCCTTAGCTGTAGTCAGTTATGCCTCGAGCATAGTAGCTCTGTAATATAATATCAATGGAGTTTGGATGAGGACGAATTTATCTGAATAGTTTATAAAGTTTGGAGTACTTACTAATAAGATCTTGTCACTATTTGAATTCGCGTTGCTAATCAAAACAAGCAAGTTCTTTGTTCACACGTGGATATCTCCTGTCCGGAGTCGCCACAAAACTCGGTCTCTTCTCATTAAAAGCCGAAGAATCACTTTTGGTAAATTATATTTCGTTGTGGGAACAATTCTGGCGAAATAGGTACAATGACAAATAGAGGTAAAATCCCAAACTGGTACACTTATCAACTGTCACATATCATTCAATTTAGTAATTTGACGGTAAAATTTAACGGAAACTAACGAATGGTAGATTTATCACCAGTGTAAAAGTTTGGAGTATTTGGTACTCAAAAAATTCATTTTGAAATAAATTTATTACAGATTTTAGTTTGAGATTTTTTTTTATTTTTTATTTTTGGTAATCGAGGTGTCCGGGCCAGCTTGCGCGCACCTCGACTATTCCCTCTGAGACTAAGACAAAGAACTCCACCGCCGTGGCCCCCACTTAAATCACAAGTGTCTCAATGGAGAATAACCTGACGGGCCAGCGCCTAACCACACAATCCCAAGTACGTCCTGACCAACTGAGCTACCCATGGGTGGATTTAGTTTGAGATTTTTCGTAGTATTAAACAAATAAAATTATGCTTAATAACTATTTCGGGGGCGATCATTAACGGGGCGGGGCGCGAAATGAAACATTCAATCAGAGGGGAGTGGCAACTTGCGTAATATACGTCCAAATCCAGGGGCGTCACCGGAAATCTCTCTAGAGAATGCTATCTCCACTCCGCATCCTCGGTCCCATCGAAACATCGAGTCGTCGACGTCCAGACACGAGAGCCTCGACAGCCCCGCTGTCGCCCCGCGTCGCAATTTACGACCAAATCGAAGGTCAAGATTTGCCAGACATCTCCTGCGAGTTGATGCTATTTCCACTCCACGTCCTCGGTCCCATCGACACAAAAAGCTTCCCACGATCCCGCGATCCCCACCGTCGCCTCGTATCTCCCGTCTCCCAGAAAATCGCCGCCTCGTAAACCACGAAAGCCCCGCGACCGCCGCCGTTCTCGAGATGTTGAAGCTCTCGTGGAATGCCGCGGACCATGCTCAGGCCCTGTCCCAATGCAGATTCCTGGAAGGGCCGAGGCCCGGGCTCCTCGCTTCCGGGAGGAGAGCCGCCGCCGCGACCGTCTCTTGCTGCTCCTCCCCGGCGAGCAAAGCTCCGGCCTTGGCGGTCGTCTCCGACGGGTTGGCCCGGGTCGAGCCCGGGTCGGGCAGCTTGGCGGACCGGCTCAGGCTGGGCAGCTTGACCGAGGACGGGCTGTCGTACAAGGAGAGGTTCATAGTGAGGTGCTATGAGGTGGGGATGAACAAGACGGCCACCGTCGAGACCATCGCCAATCTGTTGCAGGTTTTTTAGCTCGTGCCTCGAATTGCATTAATTTTCTTCTAATGGGTTTTGGGCAAGATGAGATTTTGAGTTTGATTGGGGAGAATTTGAGGGACTTTCTAGCTCTTGAGGTTCTTCTAAAAGTTGTGGATGTTGAGCATTTGAATAATTTGAAACCGAAGTAAAAAGCCAGTGAATCAAAGTGCTTGTTCTTTTGTGTTGTTGGAGTGGAGAATTGGGTCTATGTCCTACATGCAAACAAGCATGCATCTTGGTTTAGCTGTAGCAAATCTTTGATTACTGCTGCGAATTGCTTATAACATCTGGATTTTGAGAAATCCCGTGATAGAGCAGTTGGTCTTTGTACACGTCTCTTCTCTGGTTGAATGATATTGAGTACCCCCGATGGCTTCCCTAGTCCTCGTTTTAATCTTCGTAACTTCTTTCAACGAAATGTGTTGATCCAATCCTTACCAAAAAAAAAAAATGTGTTGATCCAATAGCTGGATAGATGGATAGGCTCATTTATGGAAGTAGGAAAATTTTGTTTTTTCCTATTCGGAAGAGTTGTCCTAAGTTGCATTTTGCAGTAAGAATTTCTGGTCAAACTGAATGATATCTGCATTGCAGGAGGTTGGGTGTAATCATGCTCAGGGTGTTGGATTTTCAACCGATGGATTTGCGACGACCACTACGATGCGGAAAATGAATCTCATATGGGTTACTGCCCGCATGCATATTGAAATATACAAATACCCGGCTTGGTAAGTTTGCCTACTTTTATATTACACATCTGACGTTGGATGACTTCCGCATTGGTTTTAGGCTTGTTATTCATACTCTGATAGTAGTGTGAAATTTGAGTCAGGAGTGATGTGGTGGAAATAGAGACATGGTGTCAAGGAGAAGGCAGGATCGGAACTAGACGAGACTGGATACTCAAGGACTATGCAACTGATCGAGTAATTGGAAGAGCTACTAGGTAAACTTGTGCATTTCTTTGATGTGCGAACTGGTGCTAGGGATGCTGCTCTCTCATGTCTGTTGCCCTAAGTTACCTTCCATGTTCAGGAAGAGTTCATCTGGTTTTTCCATATCTTCTTTCTTGATACGGAGTGGAGGTGAATGCCATCGGATGGTGGAAACAATATTTTTTGTCCTGCTGGGCAGAGGCTCTTTTTACTGATCAATTAGCCTCTTGTCAATTGGGATTGCGGAAGCAACACTGCATCCGTTCTGCTTTGTTCTTTATCTATGTGTTCTAGACGTTCATATTCAGAATACTTGTTGAGGTTACCATGAAGGAACTTTACCTCTGACAAAAGTAATGGCGTTCCTCTCTGTCGGATGCTCTCTTGGGGTTTTGTTGGGTGGCCATTATTAAATTCTTCTCTAGAACTTCAAGCAGAAGAGATAAATGTATAGACATGTATATGAGATACGTATGTGCATGAATGTATGCATATATGCATATTTTCCATTTATTAGATATTGTAGCTCTACCTTATATAAGCTCCTTTTCAAAAAAAAATTTCCCCTGCAATCAAGTTTAAAAACAAATTCTATAGGTACTTTTTCTGTTTGGATTTTATAAACTGGACATTGGCTGACCAGTTCAACCATCTGATATTTCAGCAAGTGGGTCATGATGAATCAAGAAACTAGAAGACTCCAGAAAGTCAGCGATGATGTTCGTGATGAGTATCTGATTTTCTGTCCACGAGAATCGAGGTACATTTATCTTCGTATTATAGGCATAAACTCAATCTTTGTCAAATTAATCTATCATGCATTACTCAAATTTGAGTATGATCACACTAAAAACTGCAGCATCCAATTCGATATCGGTATATTGATCAAGGAGCTTACATCAGCAAGGGGCTTTTGCCATGCTAAAATGAAACCCAGATTAGGTGATAATGTAGGTGCAGGAGTGAAAAGAACAATTTAAAAGCTTTACTAGTTGGTCGGTGTTTAGACTCGCCTGAAAGGTCAGAATTTTCTCTGGATCCAAAGAACATGCCAGAAGTCATCTACTGTGCATTTTGTATAGAATAAAAATATATGTTTGAGATTCCCGCATGTCTGGAGACATCCTCTCAGACAGAATTTCCAGTGAAAGACCAGATTCCAAAACCATTTGGCCTATTTTTCCTCCCAAAATCTGGAAACAAATACGATATGAAACTGAAATGAGTTTGCATGATAAAATGTAAGTCATGTCTTTGACCCATGTGGACAATTCTCCTGAGTTATTACTACTTTGTTTGCTGGAGATTTTGTTATTTGAATCGAATGCACGGCAATGGTGGATGGATGCTGTGGAAAATTCTTAAAGCCCTCAAAATGTTGATTGTGGAAGATTGCCCTTCTATACTGTTCAGATTTAAGGTGGATTGCAAGTAAAGAGAGGGAGGCACGGACACAGAGGGCTATAGTTTTACTCACTCAGATTACATTGCTTAAATAGCATAGAGAGACAACCTACTTAATACCCTAACCCCTGGTTACCTTATTTAAAGTACCTAATGCATATTTACTAACCATAAATATCTCTTTCTTACTGAATATTCTTTGACATATACACTAAGGCTCATGTTTATGTAATTTGCAGATTAGCGTTCCCAGAGGAGAACAATGGCAGCTTGAAAAAAATAGCTAAGCTGGAAGACCCTGCTCAGTATTCAAGGCTGGGGCTTGTTGTAAGTTGATTATCTCATCTGAGTTGCCCGGATTCACATGTCCTTTCATTAATAATTGTGCTTCCCACATCGACAGCCTAGACGAGCTGATCTGGACATGAACCAACATGTCAACAACGTCACCTACATCGGATGGGTTCTAGAGGTAACGGTTGCAGGCCTTCCTTCGTATGCATTACACTAGACATGGCTCATACTTCTGATATGGATGAATTAAGTACTTTTCTTCGAATTGCCTCTGTTTTTATGTACAAGTCTAGCTTTCAGGAGAAGTTGTGTTGAGAATTAAATCCCTTCAATTTGTATCTGTGTCGGGTTCCTTGTGGTTATATCTCCCTCGTTAGGAAGTTGGAGCAATATGCTCACAGGTTTGCAAAGGCTTGCCTTTCCCGTTAGAATAGCTTTTCTCTTTGTTCCTTGCATCACCATGTGGGCCACAAAATTTTGTCAGAAACGTTCTGTTTTTATGCTGCTTTCCTTTTTAATTTGCCAAAAGGTGTCACAGAAGAAGAAAAAGAGCAAGGCTTTGGCCTTTCTAGATCCGAGCAAGTACTTGGGTCATACTTTGTGTTCAGCCTCACATAGCAAGAATCAAGAACTGTTACTGACTGTCTTTAGAAGTTTTTCTTGTCCCACTAACTTGTATAGATGAAGATATCAGCAGTTTTTGAATGTTCCTCAATCTGTCTCTCATACTCTGTAAATCCTGCAATCAACCTTCCTTTGAAATGCTTTCTGTATTGTCATTATGACAGAGCATGCCTCAAGAAATTATCGACTCCTATGAACTGCAAACGATCACACTGGATTACAGGCGTGAGTGTCAGCACGATGATGTCGTCGATTCGCTGAGCAGTCATGAACCAGACGAGACCTTGGAGGCCATCTCGCAGCTCAATGGAACCAACGGATCAGCTGTATCTCCGGCGACAGAAGATTATCGCCAGTTTCTCCACTTACTCAGGTTGTCTGGTGACGGCCTAGAAATAAACCGTGGCCGCACCCAGTGGAGAAAGAAGCCTATGAGGTAATTGATTGCATGTAAAAAGACCATTTCTGATTTGTATTTGTCATTCTTAACGAGGATTTTCTGCGCTGCCAAATCTTGCCATTGCTGCTTGTAGTTTTTCGTCTGCATAGAGAACTGTGATTGTTGTGCCGAGAAAAAAACGAGAGAAACTTGCTATGCTTATCCGAGGTACCTCAAGGCCACCACGTACTCCCGAGACTTAAGTTTGTAACCTATCATGCTGTGAGCACAAGATTTGTAGTTCATTTTTTAAGATAATAATTATTAGAGGAATGCATGCTGGAATATTGAGTTTTTATTTTTTAATGTCACTGCTTGGGGGAAGCATTCAATTGACATATTTGAAGAGTTGGTGATCTTGACTTAGGAAGTGAATCGAGGACATGGCCATCTTAAAGATAGTCTCATGTTCATATTCATCTCTTAGAATCTTGTGTGGTCTAGTTTTGGCCGACTTGTGGAGTTACAATATAGGCGTTGAGCCTGGTGGCTTTCAGGATGCGTTGAATCAGTCCCAGCCAAGTCGGAGGAATCAGAGGAAAAGAAAAGCATCTTCTAGACACAAACTTCCGGGACTATTAACATAGCGGATCTTTATTAGAAACGCCATCGGCTGTAAAAATTTAGGTTCACAGGAAAGGTTTGGTTGGTGACCAAGGGACATTTGCAAAAGAATCTGGGTCGTTTTCCAATGTACCTCGATACCAGTAAGAACAGCGCCCGTGGAGATAGTACTTCTCGATTTTAACTTCCTTGCGATAATGAAAGGCCGAATTCTTGACGAAACTACATTATTGGTTTTACTGACATCGTTTGAACAGAAAGCGTCCTATGTTGGACTTCACAAACGAGGAATGCGTTATTAAGTGAAAAGAGAAGGCACATGATTATAATTGGTAAAAAAGGATTCAAATTGCAGAATAGTTGCCATGTTTTTCTTCTGATCACCAAGACAGTGTGGTCACCCTGGACAAAAACCATGGACGCAGCTTCCTTAAAGTCAGTACTGGTCATGGACAAACAGGTAAAACAAGTGAAATCGGACTACGGGAGTGAGCGATCAGCTTCCTTAAAATCAGTACTAGTCATGGACAAACAAATAAAACAAGTGAAATCAGACTAGGGGAGTGAGCGATTGCACGATAATGACGTGACTGAAGGTGAATACAAGGTGCCAACAGGCATGCATGCGGTCTTGCTGGTAAAAGAATTGAGAGTTGGGGTCGGAGAGTTACCAGGTTCGGGGTTCGATTCCCATGAGCAACCCAAGGCCTCACAAGGTACCTCCTCTTGGTTGAGAACATACCTTTGACTGATTTAAAAGACTGGATACTGATACACACCCTCTCAATACCACCTTTCTTTCGCTTGAGTATCCGTTGGGAGTCTGCCCTGCTTGAAGTGAAGCCAACTCTTGCTTCTTTAAAGAACGGTGGATAAGTCAAAACGAGTGAAATAACTCAATGGAACTAAAGGAAGAGCTATGTCATCCTGGCAAGAGAATCTGCTCATTCCGACATGTCACAAAACATCGCATGCATTGCATGAAAGTTGATTGTAAGGGATATTGTATCTTTTATGGCGACTTGTCACGTTGGAAGAATTCAAAGATGTGAAGACTCGGTACTCTTTTGCTCACAGGAACGACGACCTGATGAGCCTTCCAAACTGCAAGTACAGCTATCAGACTCATTGGACAAGTCCCTACAAACCAATACACTGACTTTTACCAGCAACATTGTTGGCGTACTCCTCCTATCAGCAAGAATTTTCATAATCTCCAGATTCTCCACCGATATCTCTTCTAGACCGCAGCTCTCAAACACGTGAAGAAGACAATAACTATCATCTGCCAAAAAAGAAAGACCAGCTTATGGAGATCCTGACATCGGCTGTGGTAGCTAATTTATCTTTACTAGGAAAAATCCTTTTAAGATGGGGCAAACTCAGGAGAAATACAACACCATGCATCCGCAGAACAGTAAAACTAAGAGATACCTGACTGATTAAGAAATCTTTGCCCCGAATTACCAAGAAATTCTCTGCCCTCCTCAAAACCAACAGGAGAAGAATCAAGAGAAGAGCCATGCTAGCCGACATTACATATGATGGTAGGAACTGTGGCCCAAGATCCAAGAGAAGTTTCACTGCCTAATTATTCTGAATAAGCTATCCGATACTTATTTGCCAAAAAAAAACTATCCGATACTTTGCTTAGATCATGACAAGGGCAAACCAAGCGAGCAGGTAGTGAAAATTTCAGCAATGAGCTGGCATAGCATCAGATGGCAAGAGAGTACATAAGCACTTCTTGCCGCAATATACAATGGACAAAGTACTCTCGTGAAACTTGAAAGATCCAAAAATCAATAATAACACTTAATATGTGCAGCCAATAAAGACCCAAGAAAACCCATTTTATGGGTACTCAAGTAATTAGCCGCATCTTTACATAGGACCACTGACTTCCCTAAAACAATAAACTCCCTAGTCTCCAACATGGCAAAATAGAGCTTGCAAACAAAATCTCACAGGAAGAACTTAAAGTACACAACAGCAATGCACAACAAAAGGTAAAACAGGTATCTTTTCTTTCTGAATGGAATATTTCTGCAGCATTCGTAAATTAAACACACAAACGGTTTCAGCCCTAAGGATAATCCAAGAAGGGCCCCGGAATTTCAAAGGAGAAAATTCTAGGGTACAAAAAGAGAAAAGAGAAGTTAACATTATTCTACAAATTAGTGACAGGAAAACTATTCCAACTTCCAAGGTTATACAATTGGCTAGAGTTCGACCCTTATTTTTCGTTTCAGCAAGCCAAAGATGTTGGTGAAACATGCCTACTCAACATTTCCATGTTAAAATCAGACAAATCTTGGACAAAGTACAGTTCTACAGTTTCTCTGTCAACCTGATCATGAAAGAATTCACTGCACTTGAATCCAAAACTATCCACGAAGATTCAAAGAGCTCTTGAAAGAATTCAGCTCCAATTTCCTCGGCTGCGTTTCTGAATGCAATACCAAAAGCATTACCCTGCACTGCCCCGAGCCGAGGCTTCCCGCAAACCCCAACAATTAAAACCTTATTGGGCTCCTGCGATAAGCAAGCACAAAGTAAAGGCTTCATTCTTGCTCCCTTTTCTTTTAGTGCATCCATCAGGAAGTAACAGAACTTAGTCAAAGCCTGTGGATACCCTAACAACTTTGTGTCAACTGAATCTTCAAGCTTCACCCATCTAAATTTCCTGCCACTTCTTATTGAGCCACTCTTAGTAATGGCTGCGCTTCCCTGTCTTAGAATGGCTCGTTGTATCTTGATAGCATGTTGCATACCGGCTTTCAGCTTGTCCAAGTTGCTCAATGACAAGGCATCATAGGCCACCCCAAACTGCTTGGAAGCACAAGAACCATCAGATTTCACAAAGGACTCAAGTAGCGCAGTGACTCCATATACCACGTCTGCTGCAGACACCCTTGAACTATAACCATGGAGTCTCAGAAAACTTCTATAGTAGAAGTCACTGAGCCCGTACTCAGGTAGAAACCGTTCGAACTCGTCTTTCATCTTTCTTTTCATTTCCAGGTTCATGTACTGAAACTTCTGCTGGCAATCCACGAGAGCGAAACCCATACGGGCAAGGAGAAGTTTGAGCTTTTTCATCCCATTGTCGCTCCACGTCTTTAATTTAGGTGCTATGTATGAAGAACACAGCATGGAATCAAATAAGTTCCATTCCTGCAATAACATCAGCCTTGGCTCGTCTTCATACGCTATCCGAGAGGAATCTGGAGCACGAATCTTGGTGCCATCCTTGAGAGTAACAGAAGTAACAGCGTCCAAGTTTCCCGAGCTGTTAATATGCTGCTCAAGCTCCATAACCCCAGCTAGGTACCTCTCATCCGTTAACCGCTCATGAACGAACTGATCTGTCAAGGAAACACAAGCTAACCAGAGCAATTCATTCGTATTCTTCCTCAAAGAATGTGACAAATCATACATCAAACATCCGGAAGGCTTCCCATGAAAGGTTCCCATACGGTAGTACTCTTTCTTCAGCTTTCTGAAAACCTGAACCGGGTCATCCCCATTTTCTTCAGAGAGCCTCCTTCGCTTCCTAGAGCGAGTCCTACTTCCCTCTTCCTCGCTATCACTGTCGTTTTCGTCTTCACTTTCCGAGGCCTCATCGTCGATCTCGTCATCACTCATCAAATCGCTAGCATTAGCCAAAGCCGACACATCGAAATCATAGGCCAAATCGGCCTGGTGCTCGTCATCCCGAGTGTAGAGCACGACCACCTGATCATTCCCCTCGCTCAAATTATGCAAATGAATCGGGCGGTGACTATCCACGACGAAAACCCTAGCTCCAGGACCCAAATCCAAGACCCTGCGCAGGTCGCGGTGGCACCCCCAATTTATCAGAAGGATCGTGACGGCGCCACCCTCGGCGCTCATACTGGACCCGGCGTACTTGTGTATCTCCCGGAACGACGACACCGGGTAGCAAGCGTACTGCACCGAATCGGACTCGAGCACATGGAAAACGACCTTGAGGGCGCAGAGCGAGTCGACGTCGGAGGTCGACGGGAAGATGAGGAGAGGGGAATCGGCCGAGGACAGCGCGGATTGGCGCAGCCGAGTGTAGAAGGACTCCACCCCTTGCTCCCTCACCATGATTGCTCCAAATCCCAGACAGCGAATTTCCTCTCGAATCCGGCTCGAGAAAAGCACGGCGCCGGGGAACTTCAAAAGAGCAAAACGGGATAGAGAACGAAAACCCTAGATCGCTGGGCAGATCCAGCTCGCGCCTCGGCTACGAAGAGCCCTCGGTTGGGCCATTGAGCTCGCGGCGGTGCAAGCTAAAGGAAAGGAGAGGCGGCGAGAAGAGCTCGGGATCGGACGCCGGAGCTCCCGTTCATCGCCGGAGCGGCCAGCGAGCGGCGGAGCTCGTCGCCGGAGGAAGGCGAAGGCGAAGGCGAAAACGAGAGGGGAGGGAGAGAGAGAGAGAGAGAGATGGAGAGAGATCTGCTGTCCGTTCGTTCTTCGTCTCTCGGGAAAATGCGATGGAGGAAGGCGGTTAAAGCTCGGGGAAGCGAAAGCTGTTTGAAATTTTTCGGGGATTTTTTTTGGTTCAATTTTTAAAAAAGTTGGCGCCACATTACGTTTCGGCACGCAGGCTCTCGCCACGTCATGCGATGCTGGCGGCTTTTTCTTTTTCTTTTTTCTTTTTCTTTTATTTCGGGGGAAAAAATAATCGAGTTTTTTTGTTTTTTTCAATGAGAGTTGACACGGGCTTGCCACGTGATGCGATTTGGCTTTTTCTCTTTTATTTATTTCGGGGAAAAATAATTGAATGTTTTTTTTAATGAGAATTTAAATGAGAGTTGCAATAAAAAATTAGCGATAACTTAAATCGCACAAAGAAAGTTAGCGAGTTGTTCTAATTGAGATTGGTATCTTCCAAAAAAAAGAAATTGGTAAATTAGAGGTCTTGTTACAAACAAACAAAAAAACGGCGAATTGTAAATGATCGATAAGTCAATGAATGATCAACCAAATATCAACAAGCAGCTCAAATGAAAGTTAAAAAATAATATTCGTGTAGTAATATAATAAGAGAAAAATCAATATACCACGCCGCCAGGCTATGCGCCTGAACCAAAGGCGGTATTTAGATTATTAATATCTAAAAAGAGTTAATAAATGCGAATGATTGCTGACCGGAAAAGAAGGACAAAAATAAAATAAATCGATAAATTACAATAATGATTAAAACCGGTAAATAAATCAAATTTAGAATCGGTCAACCAAAAATAATTTGTAATTTTAAAAAAGTGGTAAGTCGCTCTAATTTAGCTTGCCAGATACTTTGTCGCTCTAATTTAGCTTGCCAGATACTTTGTATTCGATTTCCGTGTACTAAAGTTGTACATTTTCTTCTCGACCCAAAAAAAAAAATTGTTTTGGGTTTTGCTAATAATAGCCCTCCAATTAATTTAATTTTCGGATTAGTCCCTAGCTCATTGGCATTCACTGAGGCTTCAAGCCACCACATATAACATGAAAACGAATGAGAAAACTTGATGCATTCATTCGCATTCCCTGTATTGAAACGATTACACGAAAGGACCTAAAAAAATTTCCTGTCTTTCCAGACCGGACAAGAGGCAAAAAAAAAAACAAGGAGCAGTACGAAGATGTTTTATCAACGTCTGTGACGCAGCCACTCAAGCAATACGCAGAGGAACGGATTCAAAAGCTTACTACAAATCTTGTAAACGACGAAGTAGCGCAGAGGTGGGGAAAAAACAACGAACGATGATGATCCAAGAAGCAGACTCTCCGAAAGGCAAATGATCCTTCCAAGATATTTACATTTCGCAGCCCAAGATGTCGTCGACCGGGTTTGCGGACCTCGAATTCAGAACCAGGGGCAGCAGCAACTCTGCAAGATGTATGAGGACGGCGTTTAAGTACAGTGCGAAAACGGAGCGAAAATTCACGGGAAGAGTGACTAAAATATGAATATGGTGGGTGTTTGGCGCAGTCACGCCGATCAAGTAAAATCGGCTGTTCAATTATAAGCCGTATATCACCACTACCAAGGTCATTCTCGTATTGCTGTCGCCGCTGACGGGCAGCTGCTGATGCCGACATTAACTGGCCGCCGACAAATGTCAGCATCTCAGGAACTCTTAAAGTACAAAAATGAATCTTGCACAGGTTTTAGATGTTGGAAATAAAAAGTGCTTGTGGTGAGTTGCTTATGGGATTGATGTACTTGCCCAGGTTTCATGAGTGGGATTGTGTTCCAGAGAAAACCTTAGCCATGAAGTTAAAAAATTGACATGAAATATAAAGTCAAGCGGAGCTCAAGAATATGCACCCTTCGTGTGAAACAGCGAGAATATACCTTGGGATTGTCCCTTGGATTCGGCTTCCTGTTGCCGGTGTATGGCGATCCGCGGACATTCGGACCAGGCGACATTGCTGTGCCAGGACCTCTCTGCCTCTCTTCCTTTATTCTGTTGAAAACATCAGTGTAACCATCACCCGATGCTGGGTCATTCACATTCCATTCACCGAATTTCGGGACTGCAGCACCGCCGCTAAGCTGTTTATCGGACAAAACCCACGTTAAGAGGCGAAAATCAATCGAAAGTAGAATTCACTATGATGATCACAGCTTGGATATCAAACTGCAGATTCAATTACAATTCACCCAACAAGTGCCTATTTGTGTGGACGGTGTCAAACAAGAAAGGATTCGCGACATGAAGGTCTGACTATGTCGAGTAGTAAGAGGAAAGTCTACAAGAATCAGAAAAGAGGAGTTCAAATTCAGCTTTGGATCTTACGCTATCGTCTGCTCTCGCTCGAGCTCTTCCATGACCCCCAGGGCTGCTCCCATAAGCAGCTCCGCCTGAAGCTTTTGCTTGGTGATGAAGAGGCGACCGATCGGCACTGTGATCATAACCAGGATTGGATCCAGCGGGCCTCTTGTAAGGCTCACCAGAGGCTTGTCTCGAGTCATTGGTCCGAGATGCTGCATTGTCTTTACGCACCGAGGGGTTGATGGACCGTCTCAGGTCGCTGTCATCTGCCCTGGCCCTCCTGTCCTGCGCCATCCTAGCAGGTTCGGGTCCTCTGGACTCCTCGGTGGCAACCCTGGGTTTAGGGCCAGGAGGAGGAGCAAACTTGGACTCAGGTGCACCGTTGGGATGTAATTCCGGGTTCTCTTGCGGGTCATTCGGGTTCCCCACTTTCACGCCAACGCCTCCTCGTTGCTCGCGTGCTTTCTCGAAATACACCGTATAAGCAACGTCCTCATCGGTGTTCCATTTGCCAAATTGGGGCACGCGCGAACGTTGCTGTCACAATCAGAACAGCCATTTTAGGATGGAGAATATGCCTCACAGGAATTACAACAATCATGATCCTACTCTCCGCACAAGAAGCACAAAAAGGAAGAACATCACATTGCATTAGTCGATTTTTAGCAAGCATTGGCAACTTAAGATTCAGAACAAATTAAGAGGCAACAATTTAATCTACAACCAATCCTTCATTGCCTATTAAGCCGGTTTCTCAGCAAATACAAACGAAATCACTGGGAAAGCAGGGAGGTGACAATCTAGGACAGTCAACTGATAAGGATATTACTTTGTTTTGCAAGAGGTGATTGTACAGAAATGAATACGCTGTTAAGCAGTGCTGCTCTAGAAAAGCTTTGGTGGACGATGGACCCCGATATTAGCCGCAATTGGACTTTTTGTGCGAGAAGCATGTATCGACCAACGTCATACATAGCTTGAGCTGTATAGAGCTACAAGTAAATGTTGTCCTAAGGAGACGAATCTGGGGAAAACTAAAGGCCATCGTTAAGCTAGAAAATCCGGGTTGGGAAATCTAATGACCGGATGAGGCGCTGGATTCCGAAGCAACCGATTGAGTTTCAGCTCTTCCGTATTCAGAGAAACAGAATTTATTCAAGCAGAACATCCGATAAGTGATTAAGCCTACAAAATATTCCCCAGAATTTTCTTCTTCTTTTTTCCTACCGTTTAATCGACCTGTGCATGTTTAAACAGCATCGGTTAATCCTGTCTTAGCTACAGGCGATAGCATCAAGAGATGCTTCCAATTGTCTTCTTTTTGGAGATCAAGAAACAAATTTTCTACCAATATTTTGTGAAATCTTGCCTTCTTTTCCTTCTTGCTTGTTTGATTACGAAAACTTAGCTACAGGTGACAGCATCAAGAGATGCTTCCAGTTGTCTCTTTTTGCTTCTTCGCACGTCATGAGCTCAATTCACAATGGTCAACCATCATCTAAATATAAAGTTGATCCGGAACCAACAACAAAACAGAAACAGAAGGATGAACAGATGCAACGGGAAGCCTTGATGTTCGACAACAAGAACATAATAAGACAGTGGATAAACTAATGCCCCGGGACACGTACATCGTCGAAGTCGAGACTCAGGCGTCGAAACAGAAACGATACTCACAGCCATTTTTCCGCTCTTCCACCAGCCTAAAGCGATACCGACAGAGTTCGAATCGAATTGCGGACGAAACCAGGAGCCAAGCAGCCCGAAAGAATCCTCCGGCCAACTTCTCAGGCGACCCGACAACCGGCGGAGGACAGAGAGTGAGATGAAGGTTGGCTTCTGGAGAGATAAGAAGGCGAAGGCGCAGGAGAAGGTTTATATAGACAACGTTGACCCGCGGTGGCCAGGTCCAAGTTTGACTATTCTCTCCAGCACAGCTTGAACAGGTCCCGCCTCCGTTTCTACTCGGTCTCAAAAGTCTCAGCCGCATCAACGGCTTCGCTGTAAACCGCGTAGTTAACGTCTCCTCCTCCTTTGCTTTCAAGAAAGGCTGTCGCCAGAGCGGCGTCTGTCGTTTCCGGAGATGGTCAGCAGCTTGTGATTTGCCCAAGACGGGACACTAAGAACCCCAGCCCAAGCTTCAAGGACCCGCGCTCGGCCCTCGTGAACCCGGGCCTAAGTGCCAAGGACCAAAGCTCGAGCATCGGGACCAAAGCACGGCATTTATGGATCCGGGCTGGGTACCGGGACATCGAGCACCAGGGTTTCGGGCCTAGCCTCAACAGACCCGGGCGTGGGCACCGGGCTCAGCCACCAGGCCCAGGCTTGGGCGCCGGAGACCTGATCCCAAACGCTGGGGTCCCGGGAACCAAAGTTGGGTTTGAGTTTCGAGCTTAAATATCGATACAATCATATTTTAGAAAATATTTTTCCGGTTTTTCAAAAAAGGAAATTGTTTTTTTGAATTCAAGCATTAATTCTCCGTTAATTAAAAAAATATTTTTTGTTAATTTATTTTTCTAAACGAACCAAACATCGGAAATTGAAAAAAAAAATTATTTTCCAAGAAATACACCGGAGCATTTGAGCAATCGCAACCCTTGTCGTGGGAAAAAAACCGGTTTCCTCTGAGTAACGGCGTTAAAAGTTTTGGACGGAAGCCAGCTGTCGCGATCGGTTCAACTCCCTTGACGGGTCCGAGGATTCCCTCCGCGGTTAATTGACGGGGTCGCCGTGAGGTTCGCGTGTCCCGGACCGAGCGCACGCGCTCTTTTTCGCCATCTGGACTTTTGCGAAAATCCCACGCCTAACTACCGAACCCCGACCACCCCTTTTTCTTTTTCCCCTTTGCGCCCCCTTTTTGCCCTTTTGCTCCGTTTTTGAATTCGTCCTCCGTTCGGTACTCGTAGATGCTTCGAAAGGGAAAATTGTATTCATCCCTTCCCTTGTTTTCGCTTTCGACAGCATAAATCGCAATTTGCCCCCGGCTTTTGTAAATCTCTTGGATGCGCGTATTGGGCCGTGGACACGACATCGTTCTGTTTCGTGTCGTCATTTGAGCATGGAAGGGATGACGATGTAGACATTCGGAGATAAGTAAAGGGGGGGGGGGGGGGGATTTTGTGAATTGATTCGTGAATACCGGGTTCATATCATTAAAAATCTCAGATTTGGTATCCTTACGACTTGTTTGCTCCGAACTAATCTTCTATCTCGCGAAAAAATCTCATTTTGGTTTCCCACGACATATTTGCCCCGAAATAATTTTCATCTTGCAAAAAACCCAAAACGAATATTCGAAGAACATATTTACTCTAAACTAATTTTCATCTTGCAAAAAAAACCCCAAATCGGTACCTACATCCAAATCTACAGTCAATTTGCATTTTGTCAAATTCCCATTGAAATGCACGTATGTCAATGCACATGGCTAGACCCGTCAAAATAGATCTTAAACCCATTTCTTAACACATATTTGATAGATTGGGTTGTTGTATGGATTAGTTATGTTTAGTAACAGGGTCGCAAGTGAGTTTGGACCTAACTCTATAGGTCACAAAAGAGTTTAATATGGGTGTTAAGTGGTTTTACAGCTTCTTAAGATCCAACCCATCTCTATAACTGTCTCTCGCCTTCACTTACTCCGTCCTTCCAACTTAGTTTGTGTATGACTTTTCATGTATTGAGTTAAACATATAAGTGTTTTAATATTATGGGCTTCGACCAAAAAAAAAAAAACAATATGGGTTGAATCGGATACGGGCAACTAGATTTATATTGCAAGGAAATGGGTAAATTCGAGTCGGCCCATTTTCGATCCGACCCACCTGTGTGATAGGTCTACAAGCGACAGACGACTACAATACCGATTTGACGTGGAGAATAAGAGATCCGACATGGAAAATTTACTCATGTCGGTGATTATGGTCAAGGTTTACCAAATTGTCTCAAATATCAGTTTTGAAATTTTTAATGGATTAACCTATAATTACAATTACATACGGAATCACAATGAGTTTTGGCCCCATTTGGTTTAGCTTTGGGAATGGGCTTTCGGCCTCGAAAGCCCCTTCTCAAAATGCTGAACCGTTTGGTTCAGCATTCGGCCTAGCATTGGCCAAATGCTAGCATTTGAAATGCCGAAAGCCCAAAGCTGGTCCGGACTAGCTTTGGGCTTTTGGCATTCCATAAATGCTGAACTCAAATTTTTTGTACCCAAACTACCTTCACTTATTTTGGCTTATTTCGATTTTGCCCCTATTAAGTACTGTTCATCTTCTTCGTGAGGTGGCCGGCGAGGGCAGCCAACATCGGATCGGGCCGGCGAGGTCGCACGACCCAGGCGACAGCCGCCTGAGGTCGCGCGACCGCCTAGGCGCCGCCGACCTGGGTGGCGCGAGGCTATCTGCCGCCTGGGCGGTTGCACGACCTCAGGCGGCCGGCGCCTGGGTCGCGCGACCCTCGTCGACGGTTGCCTGAACTCGGGCGACGACCGCCGGTGGCAGATCTAGCTCGCCGGGGGTCGCCCGACCTCGGGCGCCGGCGCCAGATCTAGCTCGCCGACGGCCATAGGCCTTCGCTGGCTCCGGCAAAGGGTAGGATATGTTTTTTTTTTAATAAAAAAGATAATTCCCAAAGCCTTTTTGCAAAAAAAAATTTACCAAGCACTATTTGGGGCAAAGTAGCTTTATAAATGATTTTTTACCAAACGCTGCTTGCATTTCCCCAAGAGACTTTAATCTAAACGTATTTACATTCCATCAAGTAACATTTTAAAAGTTGAACCAAACGGCCCTTTATGGGCTAGCTTTCTCCCTTTTCTTTTCAGTGAAAACAAACGCAAACGGCTGGTGGGATTGATCGGCCAATGATGATCGCGCGCCCATGGTCATCGGGGCTGAGGCTTGAAGACGATGACGACCGGTCGACGGAGCTGAGAAACCGAACGTGACCTGCACTCGTTGGACTCCAGGCTCGTCCTCTTTTGCTCTCGACAAGTCAACGCGATGTCTGTGCCACCGACAGCTGCCAAATCAAATCAATCGCCCTCGCCGAAGACTCGTGCGATTCTTCTTGCTTACTGCATTCTTCTCCTTCGTCGTCGTGGTCCTCGTCGTCTGTCCTTCATCTCCTTCCGAATGTTCCTGCAAATTTTGATCTTTTTCTTCCTGTCCTTTCTAAATTACGACGGAGGGAGGGAGGGAGGAGGTCGACTAATTCAACGAGCCGCGAGCTATTTTGAAGGCAATCGGAAAAATGACCAAGAGCTTCTTCCGGGGGAGTTGGTGGTTGGGGCGCTGTTGGGTTATGATATTGTGGCTATAATTTAGGGCTCGGAGATAATGATTAGAGCATCGCGAGATGTATAATCTAATTTATTGCGAATAGAGATTTGGTGAACCAAGTGATGCGCTACGATGCGAGCGAATATTTTGAGAGGAAGGTAGGTCCAATATAGAAATATCAAGGAAGCCGTGTACCTACTTAAAACTACTTACGAAACTCTATTTTACATTTAATTTACTTGGATTTGACTTCTCGAATTTGGAGTTTAAATACATCGTGCTGTAGCTAATGTCGAGACTCCGGATAGACTTTCGATGAGCGATGGTGATTCAAACGCGACAAGCACCTTCGACGGGTTCTACAAATTAAGATAGAGATATACTGGCATCGAAGCATGTGTCGTGTGCATGCGTAATCCTGAGCGGTTCCGTTTGGAGAGAAACGAATCGATTCCGTACAAAGATGGTGCACTTTTTCGTTATGGGGAGAACCCACGAGCTAAAAGTCACTCTAGAAAGAAATCCGTTTTGTTCGATAGCACAAGAATAGCCTTATTCCATTTCGACAATGGTATTCAGGGGTCGGTCCGTATCAACATAAGACTGGTAATTCCCTTTTCCCATCCCAAGCAGAGATTAGTGAGCCGTGTAATAGACGACCATTTCGCGTGGTTGGAGGGGCACTTGAGTTGAGTCAGCTGCCGGTGCCCAACTGCGTCTTGACCCTTATCCAATTTTTGGGCAATTCCCCCTTCGTTGCAGCTCATCGAGCAATGGGTGTTCTTGAACAACTGAATTGTCTTCATTCAAAGGAACAACGGAATGCTTTGCTCACAAGAATGTTCGAAGCTTCTCATAGCATTTCGGTTGAAAGCTAAAAGCTTGGACATTGGACAACATTGTAGGGAACATCATGGCTAGTAGCTCCATTGCGTTCACCGATGAAAAAAATGTCTGCAGAAGAACGAGTTCCTTGTTGCTCGACTTTCTAGTTTGAAAAATGAACTTATCTGGGAAAATCGAGCGATTATTTAATCAGTGTACATTGGTTAGTCTCTAAATACGCAAGAACTGGATGGTTACTCGATGAAGAGAGAGATGGTGAGTTTTGACTTTTGGTGAAGGGTCATTATGGATAATTAAGAGCGAGACGATTTGGGGTTTTGGCTTATTGATATTGACTAATGTTGAGACATGCGTTAATCGTGGGGCGGGTTACGTGCGAAGAGAATCGAACCAATTTCCAGAAGGAGCTGAATAATGATTCCATTGTTCGTATGCATGTTGGTTAATTATTAAACACGTGCGAATTAGAGCATCGCTTGACAGAGAGAGAGAGAGAGAGATTGATAGTTTTGACTTTTGATGAATGGTAATTACGAATAACTAGAAGCGAGACAATTTGAGATAACGTAACTATTCCACAACAACAACATTGCTTACGCGGTAAACCTTTAATCAATAGGGCGGATCGGATCGGATCCCATATCGGGTCGGAAAGGCCCGTACCCGGGCCCGTTCATGCAATTAGAAAAACTGTCTGCAAAACGATCGGGCCTTGGCGGGCCCAGGTACAATATGTACGGACGCTGTTGCATAGAAACTATAAATGCAAAATTAATCAAAAAGACAACGTCAGTCCCTGCTATTGCGTGCGTTCGCAACTCCGGTCACCAACTACCAGCTCAACGTCTAAGTACAAGTCAAAACAATTCAAAATGTCCCTCTAACACGAGAAACTCTTGCTTGGACCCGACACAATCACGCGGTTGGTCACGTGAGATTCTACACAGGCAACCATTGTAATAGACCCAATCCACGTGGACCGTTATCGAGATAGAAATTCGCCTTCCACGGCGATTTCGAATGAAAACTTACTAATAACGTTTTACCGTGTTGTTAGTAGTACAAAGCGACAACCAGTATTGTTGCCAATGCGATGTATAGTTGACGGGAGCATTATGTCTGATTTGTGGTCCCCACATGTTTGATATCTAATTGTTCACGTGCTTTCCTATCTTGAGAAACGTGTTAATTTAATCTAGCAAATCAAAAAAAAGAATAATTCGGCTAAGTGCACTAGTTTAATATATCTCAAATTCGATAACTTATTCTGGCACGTCTCTCTTAAGAAAGTTGCCTTTGTTGACGATCATAATAGGGCTGACTCCAATTCTGGTCCTCCATGTTTTGCTTTCTATACAATTCAGTCCTTCGAGTTTTTTTCTTTTATAATGCAATCGAGTCCGCTATCTTAATCGCTTTGCGCAATCGAGTCATTTGTTGTTTATCATTTACTAATGCCGTTAAATTGTTGATGTGACGTTGTTGACATGGCAAAAGACCTTGTCAAGAATAGGAGGGGGGTCAATGACCATTGCCTTGCCGAGGTCCTAACGTTGAGATTGAAATCCAGACGTGAGTATGATCTATAAAGGACATCTCTCTCTTCTCTTAAGCAGGCGAGGGTCGAAACCCCCCCTCCTATTGACGAAGGTGGTTGGCCCTCGCCAACGGGCGAGCAATCGTGCCCAACCCTTCCCCATCTCTCTCTATTTCGTTATTTCTAGATTTTTTTTTCAGTCACTTTTCTAATTATTGACGTTAAAATATACCATCGTCGCGTGTCAAAATTTTTACCAATATTAGCGTTGGCAAATTAGAACGCGAATGATAACCATTTTCTTTCCCGGCTATATGTCTAGTTAAAATCTATTTCTATTCTCAAAACGAGTTTTTGAGCAAAAAGTGACGTTTGATATTGAAATAAAATTTATGTTCTCGGAATAGAAATTCGTTTGATAGGTTATTCTTAAATTTTTATTCCCGGTGGCAGGCGAAGGCGGGCAGCGATGACAAATAATAAAAGAGAGTTGTTATTCCTGTTTCCATTTCAGAAATAGAAAAAGTAAAAAAAGCCTACTTTTCATTTTTGTTCGAAACTTATTTCTGAGCTAAAAATTTGTTCCGAAAATAAAACAATGAAAATTGCGTTGCTTAACAGATTTCTATTCCAAACCTATTTTCGGAAACAAGAAATAGATAAATAGATAAATATAATGGTTATCATTCGCGCCCTTAGTAACGTGACCGTAAATAATGAAAAGACTCGATCGTACTATGCAATAAAGACAAGGGGTTTAACTGTACAACAAAAGATTTAGAGGATCGATTTGCATAAATAGTAACATACAGAGGACCAAAACTTTGCTTGATCCGACTATTATAATTTTCGTGCTTTACTGCTTTCTCCTTTTTATCCCTAAAGTAATCGCTTTTTAGCCTGGAAAACAGCAAGAAGGTCCTCATTCCGCTGCTAAATTGCACAGATCTATGTCCTCGCACCGCCGTACCGTCCTCTCCGGAGTTAAAAATCGCTCCTTTGAAGTGGGTTCTCAAGATTGTCCCCGCGGGATGAGATCCCACTGAAGAAGCAGCTAAATTTCTTCAAGGGGTTTCGCGAACGGGATGTTTCGGCCTTTGCTTTTCACTGGGTGAGTGGGAAGACTTGTCGGACGTGATTTATTATCGTGGCAATGCCCTCTCGAGATCTGAAGAGAAAGACCCAACTCGTGTAATCTTTGTTTGGTCGTTCTGTCTTAGCAAGGCGATGCGAATCTGGTGAAAGCCGGGGCTTTTGAACTGATTCGGTGAGGTGGGTATTGCGGGTTTTTGTGGAAGCGAGAGATGATTCAGCTTCTGTTCTTCGTTCTGTTTGTGGAGGCGGTTCTGTTGTTCTTGATGTTGGTGAAGATTGGGCCGCTGAGAGAGCTTGTGATGAAGAGCCTGGAGCAGTTGAAAATGGGTAAAGGTCCTGCCACCGTGAAGACAATAGCTGGTACGATGTCTGTGATATTGTTGTCGAGCCTCATGAGCATTGTCAAAATCCAGAACAAAGGGGCGAAGCTCGGCACCATGTCTCCCATGGATCAGGTCCTGTGGAGGACCCATTTGCTCGAGGCCTCACTCATGGGTATGCTCTCTCTCTCTCTCCCTCTCTCCCCGTGTGTGTGTGTTTGTGTGGGTTTGTGTGTGTGTGTGAAGTTGAGCATTCACGTGAGTGCTTCTACGTGACATGGATGATGCTAATCGGAGACCAAAGGTAGTAGCTTTTGAGTTTAACATTGTGGTGATTTATAGAATTCGTAATATGGAACGGTGTAGATGTAATTCAAGGATGTTGGTATCATGCTTCCTTACACAAAAGTTCCACGTGGAGTTCTCGATTACCAAGATGTGATATTGCTATGGTTATGTTGGATATGTGCTCGAAATTGAAAAACCTTACAGCATGACTTATGGATAAAGAAACTGTAAACACAGGAGGTTTCGTCATTCCTGTGGGCAATCTTTGATCTGATAATTGGGGCGGAATAACTTTGAAATCAACGGACTAAGTTGGAAATGATATCGCTTCATGTCACTGAGTGGTCATGGAGGCATGGTAGTTGCCCTGCACTGGTTCCCTTTATTTGGTTCATATGTTGGCTCTCAGGAAGAGCATCTATAGAATGGCCTTTCGCTTTATTGTTGGGTATGAACTCCACTGGAGAACCATTTTGCTTGATGCCTTGGAGGACCCTGAAATATGTGCAACAAGTTCTTGTTTGGCGGAAGGAATGGGAAACCTTTGTATCTGAGTGAGTCTTTTTGCTTATCTACTGATACTTTTGTTGGGGACGAGGTTCCTTTTCTAAGAAGAGTCCAGATGGCCAAAAGGGTTTTATTATCGAAATGAAATGTGAGATATTAGATGTGGCAAATACTATGGTTATGCACATCTATGTATTTTAGATTTTTTTTATCTGTTTGTTTAGTTTATTTTTGACTGGCCATGCTACTTCTGCGAGTTGTTTTTTCCCCTCAAAAGAAAGGATTGAAATTATTAATTCGGAGGACTTGGTGGGTATTTTGAAATCTTTTGTGTGACTTCGTGTTTGAAAATTTTTCTTCTATTTCACTGATAGTTTTTGGTTTTGAACTTGTTCCATAAACTTGTATCTTCTATTACCGCAGAACTATTCTTTGGTGACGTTTGCTTTGGGTTGTAAATCTATATGAAAGGGTATGGGTACTATCGTATGTCGAAATTCATATCGTCGTGCAATTTCTCGTTTCTGGTTGAATTTCCTATCATTGTACTTCTGACCTGAGTAATGTCTCAAATTCTTCAAGAATTGTCGTGAAAATGGTGGAGTTTTAATCAGAGTATTATCTCCTATCCCCTACTTGGTCAATATCGTTGTATTTAACTGACTGACCGGTTCATTATATTCACTTAAGATGTTAATAAAACTCCATCGAGTAGGCTGGATTCATCTCCATCGAGAAGTTTTAATTCATCACTCTTTCTATGTCAATGTTTGTAGGTTCATGTGATTGGTTGTTATGGTAGGTTCTCCAAGTTGTCTGTAGCCTTTTATATGAGGCTGGTGTCAAAGTTGATCTGGCTATTCTTTTGTACCCCGTTCTCTGACTCAGAAATTTGTTTTACGAAATATCTTTGGTTCTTCCATCGATCAGTTCAGAAAGGTAATCCTTTTCATATTTCTGAACACATTACATTGTCTTTACAGGGTTTACCCTGTTTCTTGGGTTTGTCATCGATCGTGTCCATCATTACCTCCAAAAGTTAATTAGGTTGAGGAGTAAAGAGGGCGTGTCCAAAGAGGAGGTTGAAAGTCTTCGCAAAGAACAATCAGAGCTTAAAGAAAAGGAAGGGAAAAGTCTGAAGGAAATAAAGCAACTGCAAAAAGAAATCTCCAATATGTCAGAGATTTTGAAAAAACTGAAACTCGAATGTGAAGAGAAGGACAAGAAGGTCGAAACTGCTGAAGCACACGTTGCCTCCCTCCAGAAGCAGTCTGCAGACTTGCTCCTAGAGTATGACCGCCTATTAGAAGACAACCAAAATCTTCAGAGTCAAGCTCTAGGACAGAGGATGTGAGTAGTATTGGGATTCACAAATTTTGGGGATCATTTTTGGTAGTTCGGACGCGATCATACCTCTTATTACTTCACGAGAAGACTAATTGCTTGGAGGGAATTGCATTGGAAGCAAAGGGGATTGAGTGTGAGCTGTCTTGCCCCCCTTAGGTGAATGAAATTTTGTTACTGATTGGTGAGTCTCTGTTGTTTTTACCTGTTGTCTGATTCTGCTGCTTGTATCTATCTTTGTCGTTCACCTTGGTTTTTCCACATCAAATCTAGGCTGTCAGTTGAAAGAACCACATTGTCTTTCCTTTAATATCTTCTATTTACCAAACAGAATTTGCAAAATTGAATATGCTAGCAGTATGAGTAAAGATGGTAGAGTTATAAAGGCCAGAATCTCTGCTTCCTCTGTTTATAATCTGCATCTGTAAAGACTTTCTTTTAGGGACAATTATCTCTTAGCTACACGTTATAAATTCCAAAAGAAAGAGCTGTTTGATGAGCCATGCTCGACTGCGGGATTGACAACTCATCACAAACACAGCGATGCTGCTCCTTCGTGAGAATATTGCCTGCAGACCTTTTTGGCACCATGACGAATAGGCAAAATTCACATCCTCTGGGGCATTTTCTAATCAGGAATCGCCAAATGAAGCTGAACTATCGGATGATGAAACAAACCGAGCATCATCCACAGCAAGTTGTATGCCTTAAGTAAGTCCCTGTTCTGGATTAGGACCGGAGCACGTCAGTTCCAGTTTTCGGGGTTCCCTTGTTAGTTTTCGCGTTTCTGTTCAATATCACAAAACGAGCAACTTGGTCTTGGTTCATGTCTATCAGGTTTCATCACCTGGTACAACTGATCCAACATCTGCAAAACAACTTCATAGTAACTATTGCTTTTATCTTCCGTTAAGAATGCCTGAAGATTACCATTCAGTTCCCCCATCCTAAATCCAGGGGCCTTCGCCCCTCCTGCTATCTTCATGATCTTCTTTACACACGTTGTTTCATCCCTCTTCCTCACTGGACCGAAATAATATGAAACCACCACGAGAGTATGCAAAGATCATGGCATTCCATGCTTCGTCGCCCTTCTTAGGCACTTCATCGAAAACATGATGGGCTGCTGCTAAATCACGAGCACGCGCATTAGGACGCCACCAAACGCCCACCATAGTTACCCTCAGCGAAGAAGGGACCGGTCACCGTTGCAAAACCATGAATTCGCTCAACCGATTTTCTGTCCTTGCAGGCAGTGAGGGAAGGTTTAAAGTTAAATCCCTCCGGCCACAAAGCAAAGCCGTTAACGTGCGCAAAGCGCGAAATTTGCACATACCAACTGTTTGCTCCGCATGTGGCCACGTTAAACTAATGCCACGACAATCGGTAAAGCCCTTCGGATGAATTTCCCAACCGGGTTCGAGGTGATACGGACAAGAAAGAAATGGTGTTTGAACCGAACAATTCTTGGATGCGTCGAGAACAACCGTAGAAATTAATCGAGAACCCAAAAAAAATGGCTGCGAGTTTCATTGTTTACATCCACGGCGTATCACGAGTTCACGCTCAATCTGTACCATTCTTGCACCTGGAGAGTGAATGGGAAGCTCATCTTGACCTGGATTTTGCTCCAGGTTTAGAGCTTTTTCTATGCGCGCCTCGACAGCTATTGAGTAGTATGTCCAAGCTTGGAAGCACGGATGTAATCTAGTCGAGTCGAGCTCGAACCCGTGTTCGAGCCTAACTCGACCCGATGAGACCAGAATATACAATCCTCGATGCCTAATTGCAGTACATTTAAATGCGTCGTGTAACAAAAGTACCGAGTTAATATGTTTTAGTTACACATGTCTAAAGCGTACCAAAAGAAGAAAAGATTTTAAAAAAAGTTAATTCGCATGCGGCATATTTATTAATTGTACATAAGATGGATTGATTAAGCTTATGGCTTGAACGCGCTCAATTAATGCTTGATTAATTTTTGACTTTATGTTGGAATACAGGGTTTTGGCGATTTGTGCTCGTTAAAATGTGAACATATTTTACAAATTGCGATAAGATCAAGTTCAATATACAAAACCGGTGCTAGAGCTGACAGTATCGGACAAGATTCATTAACGTAACACCAATAAGATAAGAGAGGAAAGCACAAAGTACAAATGACACATCGACATGAAATCTGTCAATAACGATTGTGCAAGCTTGCCATTTTTTCGATAGTTGAATACTCCACTCCGGCCCCATTTACAAGTCGAGAGTGAATAACACTATCGATCAAGCTCGAGTCGAGATTCGAAAATCGGGTATGTAAATTGAGAAGGTAAATCTAAAATTGTGTAGAAACAACCTCAAAATAATATATACAAAACAAAAAAGACATTCCATTAACGACACTTCCAGAAGCCGTTGGAAGAAGCGGCGGCGACAGCACAAAGTTCCGCCGATCAAGCGAGAGAGAGAGAGAGAGAGAGAGAGAGAGATGTCGGAGAAGGAAGCGAGGACGATCAAGCTGCGCTGCCCGCCGCTGTCGAGGACGGTGGCGATCGCCGCGAGGGGCGACCAGCTGCTCGACCTCGGGTCCATTGCCCGGGCCTTCGGGCTCGACCCGGCGACGCTGAAGCTCAACGGCCACTTCGTGAGCAGGGGCGCCGACCTGGTGTCTCCTTCCGTCACCTGGAGGTCCCTCCTCTCCTTCTTCTCGTCCAAGGGCTTGCCCACCGGCGGCGGCGGCGGCGGCGACGCCCTCGTCGTCGACGGGAAGCTCCTGAGGGCCGGGAGCAAAAGTGAGTTGTCCGCGACTTCGCGAGTTCAGTAGGCTCGGAAAGGTTTTCGAGCTGATTCGACTTCCGATTTCAGCAGCTGGACGCACGCGCGCCGCCTCGTTCGCTTGCGCCCACCAAAGCTTCGATTTTTTGGCATATTTGAGCGTGTATTCATTCAGTCATCGATTGGGGATTTGTTTGCAGGAGGGCATGATGGTGAAGGAATGATGGGTAGGCCGAAGCAGGATGAGTATGAGGATGAGGATTGCTCGGGCCAAAGCAGGAGGCAGAGTGAAGAGGTTCACGTCTCGAAGTCTACTAAGAGATCGAAGATCGATGATCCGGGTATCGCTTCCTTCCAGAGAATCTAGATATATGCTAATAAGAAATCTTCTAAATTGGTATGCTAAGTTGATTTATTGTGTTTGGCGTGTCGACTGTTGATGGATCTCAATTACACTGCGCGTGATCTTCATTGGTTGAATATTGACAATCCTAAGCATTGCTCTGTTCCGGATTAGGGTGTTCTTGGTTAATTCTCTATCCCATGTCGTTTTGCACTGTCATGTAGCTACTTATCTAGTGGTGCAGATTCAGGAGCAGTACTCAGTAGTGGTAATGTTCTCACTTCTGACCATCATACCAATCAGAAACAAACATAGGCAGTTGCCATATTATGGTATTGGCGTGTTACGAATATGTTATAATCAAAGGGAATGATTATGTTACAATTAGTCGTCCCCATGACGGAGACGGCATTAGTTGAAAATGGCCCATCTGCGGGAATTTTGTCATCGCGCATGCTTAGAAGACTATCTCGTTGCTTCATCGATGCTGTTTCAACAGGCTGCAGGTGCCGTAGCTATGATTTGGGTTTGAAGAGGAAGCATCTGTCCGAGGAAGTGAGCCTGCTCAAGAGGTTGAAGATAAATGATGCTTCTTCTGGTGAGTGCCAACCACAAGCACCATCATTGAAACTCCTCTTCTTGCATGAAATCATTAATGCTTTGCTTGGTTTCAAGATGAACTGAGTACTAATTTTCCCACTAAATCAATGATTAGGCTATGGAAAGTTTTTCTGTAGAAACAAATGAACTAAATAAATTTTTCTTTAATTACAGATTTTGGAAGTTTTGCCTGCAGATACATGGGTGAGAATTTGAAGAGATTGAGAGACGGTGGTCGAGAATTATGCATGCTGTAAAAGGGTGGGATGAGCTTTTCTGTTCTTTTTTCCCCTTTGTGTAAGTATCTGTTTCTCCTTCCCTGTGGCCTGTGGATATTGTTTCATTGCTTGTGCAGATATCCTAATGCCAACGTTGTAAAAGACGATAAATGAAAGTAGACGTAGATACTACACATATGTAGAAGTACTGCTTTTGCATTTAAGAGCAAGCTGTTTGTAATCTGATCACGTATTAGAGGAAATTAAGGTTTTATGGGACTGTAATTCGTTAAGAGTCTGCATCTTCAGCTCCGGCGGTTGTTTCTTGAGTTCTTCTGGTGAACAAACCATTGGATAGCCGGAATTGCTCACAGCGTGATGTCTCAGGTCCCCTGCCAGGCCGCCCGTCATTTGAGCAGGCTTCGGCATAAATTCTTGCCCATAGGCCTGGCCGGCCGAGTCACGCCTCTTAAATTTTTCAAAATCGGCTTGAATCTGAAAACCACTCCTTTACATGGTCTAGCCCCTGCTTATCATGTGGTTTTCCCATGCACTCTGTTAAATGGTCGGGTTTGGACGATCCTCTGTGAGTCTAAAGTAGGGGGGCCAGCCCAAGACCTCTCGACGGGCACCCTAGCGTCCGGTTTGAGTCGAAACCTCACTTGCCCGTCTATTGGTCATCTATGTACTTCATTTTCAGCGACGCTTTCGAGTTCATGACAATCTTTTAGAATTGCGTAGACTTCCTAGTGGACGATTTTTTTTGTTTTTTTGGTGACTAAATTGAGGAGGGAAGGATGGAGGTGTAAGAGCTACCTCTTGCCAAACGCTTGCAATCTCAACAAGCTACAAGGGCTCTCAATCTGACGTTCCTAAATTGAAGGAAGATGACCAGTGGGAGGTTACTGTCTTTCCTCTAAGTCTGGCAAAATAGCCTTTGGGAGAGACATTCCTCTCAATCAATTCATTATTCATGGAATTCAAAAGATTGATCCTCACAATTCAATGGCGGAAACGAAGAACCGTTTCCTAGGTTTATTACTTGCTTGACTCCTAACCCTTCCCTGAAGAACTGTTAATGACACTCGGGTGGCGGCACGGGGTATCTGGACCTATCGGCGCAATAGTCGTAGTTCATGAAATTCTTCCTCACGTCCTCGAGCTGTCTCTCTTGCTCTTCGTCCAAAACCCAGTGTTTCCACGAGTTCCACCAGTAGGCCAAGGAATAACAGCGGCCGGCGTCTTGGCTCTGGAACTCGCAGCCGGAGATGTCGAAGCCTCGGTAATGGGCTTGGAACGGCGCGTAGCTCCAATCTATCTTGGTTCGCCCTCCATCGGTCGCCCAGCTGTCCCCGTTCCACAGGCTTGCCTCTATTTGCATGGGTTGTGTCGGGTAGGGCACTCCGATCCGCTTGTTGTTCTTGAACACTCTTATGGGGATGTCGTCCACATAAAACCTGTTTCGAGATCAGAAGCTAAGTAATAGCAGGTGTGTTTGCTAATGAGAGAGAGAGGAAGAGGGTGTCTGCTTACACGATCTGATGATGATTCCAGAGGACCTTGTAAGAGTGAAAATCAGCTGTGGGATCGAACCAGAGAAGAATCCTCTGTTCCCTGTTGCCAACTCCATCTGCAAACACATTGGTCTGCAGCGTGATCGGTTTGCCTTCCCTGTTGCCCAGGAATTCGAAGTCCACCTCATCATGCCTATCCCCGTGTGAAATCAGCTGTCCACATATCTAAACATATCAACAAGCAATCCAGTTTGATTTTACATATACATGGTTTCGCAGTTCATATATAGAGAGAGAGAGAGAGTTGTGTTGTAACGGCACATGCATGCACGTTGCGTATGCTGTTGTATTCGAACAAGTTGGCTCTGATCTTGAAAACTAACCTTTAGGATTATATATGCGTGACATCAATTCAAGCCATGGTTTGTATCAACCAAACTTTATATAGATATTACACATTGCAACTATTGATTCTGTGGTTGTACGTATTTTTCGCTAGATTGATTGAAGTATAGGTAAAGGGGCAAGAGAACAGGATTCACATAGAAAGCGGTGACAACTCCAGCGGAGTTCCTCCCCGGTAGCTTTATCGTCATGTTGAAAAATCCAGATCCGTAGCTCTTCTGCGATGCGAACCCCGACCCTACACAAAATGCACCCGTTATTCGAAAGTCGAATTCGAAGAAGTAGTATCAAAATATATGCTATAAATGAATTGCCAAGTTCAAATTCAAACCACCCTTAGTGTGTTAGTATTGCCTTTCCTTATAACCCTTTTTCTTCAAATGTTTATAAAAGGGTTTAAACACGAATTTCTTTTGGTAAATATTGAAAGATTCAAAAGAAGATTTTAGGGTTAAATCGTTCTTCAATTGCAATATGCAAAAAGATCATGTTCATGCACACTCCGATAGCGAGTCACGAGAAGACATGCATATTACCATTTCCATCCAAAACCATGGGAGATTAAGCAATCTTAGTCATTGGACCTAACTAAACATCTTCATCACCGTCGATTTCCATTCATTACAGAAGAAAAATCACTACACGCGAGAGTAGTATCAGGAGTAACTAGAATAACCAGAAGAAGCATCCATTGAGAGCTGAACTTCTCGGCCGTTATCCAAAGTCGCAATGTGATCGTAACCCCACGTTATTTGGTAGTTCTGATCGAAGCTCACGCCGCTCGCATGAGCCGCTCCGCTGATGAAAAGGAGGAGGGGGAGGAGGAGAAAGCCGGCAAACTTCGGGAGCGCCATGACTGTGTCGATCTGATCGGATTCGTATGTCTTGTATGTGTTCCTGTTGTGTCGTGTCGTGTTTAGTGCAAAGTGAAGTTTATCACGCTTATATAAGAGCAAAAGTTGTCCAAATGTCGTCGATTGGCCATGAGCATAAATAGGCAAAAAAAGCGTGAAGTGAACACAACATCGCCATCATCATCTTCTTCGTCTGTTACTTACCTCTCCCACACGCTATCGACTCCTCCATGCTTCGTATTCTCCCATGCACCAAGACGATGATGTCATTAGTGTCCTATCTTTCTAATTAAGATGCTAATTATTGTCCATTCGCGTGATTTCTACTTCACGTATAATTAGGCAAATCTATTCGTGATGCCCATTAAAGAGTATTAAAGGTGGGCTGTTTCTAATTACTGGATATTTTTCATCAGGGCTTGGTTTCCAACTTTTATTTTCTATACACCTCATGTTACACTTGATTCCTCATTTGAGAAACTTGCTAAAAATGAGAAAATGACTCTCTCTTGGTCAGCAGAAACAAGAAAAGGCTGTGCATGGCCACAGTGGAGTTGACATCACACAGCCTCCAAAAGTGGCCGTCCTAAGAAAAAAGCTGTCTGATGTCAAGTTGGTTGTATAGAAACATCATCTAGCACAACTAGAATTTGTTACGCAGATAAGATAAAAAATTGGATCTGACTTCGTCCAAATATTCGAATCCGATGAATCTCAAGCCATGAATTGAGCGAACCCCACACGGGATCTACCAAATTCACTGCTTTGTAAATTCATTAGATGCATGCATGCATCGGTATACACGCGATTCGTAATTTGTAGGTACATTAATATCCATACATGGAATGCAATCCCCTGTCATTACGTCTTTCTTACATCGATATTTTGATATGATATTGTCCCTATCCGGAAAGCCCACGTTCGACGTATTGCAATCTTGAACTCAGGGCGAAGAAAACCAAAACGACATTACTAATTAGGAACAATTTGTGTCCAGATGGCTATTCGGATCTCTCTCTTCATCAATTATCCTCCCAGGAAGCAAAACCCTGCTGTATAGTTGCCTGAAACTAGGCATGGAGAGACGGGACAGAAGTGCATCTGCAATTTCTGTTTGAGAACTCAGAAGGGTTCGCACATTGATTTCCATATGCTTTTCTCAATCTTTTCATTGGGGTTTGTATGCAGGTTCAAAAGATCAGGATAAGTCGTTGCATATATGCAGCTTTTATCTTTTGTAGCTTATCGAACTATAAAGACAAATGAAAACGGCTTCACTGGTGACGTTTTCTTGTTCCGGATGTGAATCGATTCCCACTTGGAAGCGTGTGGAAACGGTAGGCCGCTACGATTCATGCCCGGGGTTCGCTGCCGCTGCCGTATTTGAAACAAACGCTTTACTGCTCGCTCAATCTCGGTATTACATGATTCGTCGTCGCGTCGATCATATGAAAAACGCGGACTTTTGTCGAATGCACACGCGCATTCGACGTGAGATAAATGCTTATGGAAAAAGACGACTTGTGTAAAACACGCATGCGTTTTACTTTTTTCTTTGTCTAATTCTTATGACGCATTCACTTTGGCTGTTTTTAGTCCGGAATACCCGAAACTTTCATGACATTTAAAAATTGACACTGTAGATTGTAGATGTTTTGAACTTCGGCGGAAAAGGTAAGAGATACTACCTATTCAAGAATATTAAAGAGATTATCCATAAGAGGAACGCGAGCATTGAGCAAGACCGTCCGGTCCAGCCGCATTTAAGAGAGTGACGGTTTACTATTTGACCATGGAACTATTGGCCAGGAACCGCATGACTTGTTCTTCTAGTCCCACCGAAGCTGAGGCTTTTCGAAATACTATATAGCTTCCACAAAGTTATTTACTCATATAGGTTTCGCTTAATTCAACAGAAAACCTTAATTTCATGGCCAATACACCTTCTTATTATTATTCTTATGCTTAAAATTTCATCGAAATTAACAAGTTGTGACATGTATACAGTGATCACGATCATGCGCATGGTCAATGATGTGTCTCATTTTATATCATCGATGAAACATTTCGAGGCATAATATGTGACATCATAATTAAATTACATGATCTGCAATTTATGAAATCAATTTATCTCATTTTTAGTCTTTTTTTCTTTTTCTTTTTCCTTTTCCCTTGGCCGGTGACCGGCCACGAGCGAGAGTTGAGCTCACCCAAGGCCAGCGAAGCTCGAGCTCGCCAGATTCCGCCGAGCCGAGCCGAGTTGGCCTTGGGCGAGGCTCCACCTGGCTAGATCTGGCGACGTTGAGCTCACGCGAGATTGGTGAGCTGGTAGAGACTTGTGATGCCACGAGCTTGGTGCGATTGGGGAGGTCTCAAGTTTGTCACAACACGCTGGCCTAAGGCGAGGCCTCGAGCTCGCCAAATCTAGCCAGGTGGAGCCTTGCCCGAGGCTTGGCTTGTCGGAATCTGGCGAGCTCGAGCCTCGCCAACCTTGGGCGAGCTTATCCCTCGCCGGCTATCACCATGGTCAGTCACCAGACGAGGAAGAAGGAAAAAGAAAACAAAAGAATAGAAAGAAAAAGAAAAAAGAAATAAAAAATATATGTTTATTTTTTTAAAAAATATTTTTATATGAACGGATGTTTCATTAACTAAAGACACGAGCCCGAGCACCGAGGATCCATGCTTGGCCTTTGTGAACCCAGTCCTCGGTGCGAAGGACCATAGCTTGAGCATTAGGGACCCAAGCACGACATTTATGGACCTGGGCTCGAGTGCTAGGACTTTGGGCACAAGCACTAGGACTTCAGGCCTAGCCTCGATGGGTGCCGGGGCACTAGGGTCCCAGGCTTGGCCTCGATTGACCAAGGCGCCAAAAACCTGGTCCTAAACGCCGGGGGCCCGGGAACTGGTGTTGAGGTCTACATGCTGGAGCGTAGAGTTTCAGGTCCAAGTATCGATACCTAATCAAAATTTGAAAAATGTTTTCCGATTTTTCAAAAAGGAAATTATTTTCCTAAATTTAAGCATGAATTTTCTGTTAACTAGGAAAACATTTTCTGCTGACTCATTTTCCTAAGCGGGTCAAACACCGGAAAATGAGAAAGTTGTTTTCTGCGAAACAAACTTAGCCTTAATATCTTTCGGTCATTCCAACGTAACTTGCTAAAAATTTGAGAAAATATACTCCTAATTTTGCTTATGAAAGGTTGTGGCACTCTCTCTTGGTCAGCAGAAACAAGAAAAAGGTTCGGTGCACCCACATCATACAGCCTCAAAGCTGTCATCACCATAACTTGAACTTATTACGCAGATATGGTAAAAAAATGCATCTGATCTCATCCAAATATTTGAATTTGATGATGCCTCGCGTGCTATAAGTTTAGTAAACCCCACCTGAGATCTTCCCAATTCAATGCTCTGTAATTTCGTCAGATGCGCGCGTATCGGTATGCATGCAATTTGTTATTTTTAGGCACATTAGTATCTTTACATGCATTGCAATGGCGACCGGTACGGTCTTAAGGTTCTCCTGAGCGGGAGTCGCTATAATTCATGCACGGGACTCGCTCGCATTGCATCCGGAACAAATATCGTACCGCTTAGTCTTCACACCGGTGAAATGAAAGACAGCCAGATTTGTTTTTTTGATACCCACGCATGCATTTGACCTGGGAAAAAGTATGTGCTTGCACCCACGACTGGAAAGTCCCGTTAAAAAGAAAATTCTTTGTTTTCATTGGCTTTTATGTTTTTCTTTTTTAAATTTCGCTCAATCTAATTCTTATGACGTACGCCCTTTAACTTTTTGTAATCTGGATCGCCTGAAACTTTCACAATATTTAGTTATTGACGTGTAGATCGTAAAAGCTTTATATTTTGGTGGAAAAGTAAAGAGATACATTTTGCTCCTGTTAATTTAAAACAACCAAGCTCTTACCAAAAAATTTGTACCTGATTTGACTTTAGCAGTGTCAAAATTCATTTTTACCTTTTGTTTATATTCTTAATCTGAATCTTTCGGTTCTTGCGGTCTGATTCTTCTTTCTTTTTTGAAATTCCGAACTCTTGAAACTTTCATAAAACTCAAACGTTAAGGGTAAATTCACATTTGTGTTGCCTTTTGGACTTTTCGAAATGAACATTTTCTTCTAAGCACTGGTAGTTCTATAAAGGATTATGTGAAACCTCGAGCTTGAACTGGAACGATTTGATTGGGCTCAGCACGAAGAAGAGAGTGCACCCGGCTCATAGTTGTTTTCGAAGTTTGGATCAGGCGGGGCTGATTTAAAATTTAAAAAAGTATACCTTGACATTTAATTTAGGGTTATTACCACGAAAAACCCCAAACTGGTACACCTATGATAAATTTATCCCAAACTAATTTTTTGACCATAAAAAATCCCAAACTGGTACACTTGCGATAATTTTATTCCAAACTAATTTTTTAACTACAAAAAACCCCAAACTGGTACATTTGTGACAAATTTGCTTTCCGTTAATTTCAGTTAAGTTGGATTAATGCAAAAAAAATCACAAACTGGTACACCTATGATAAATGGAGGGTGTTGACACCTAATTTTTGGCCAACGCGTCATTAAAAGTAGAAAATTCAAGATTATGGTTTCTGACAGCGACGGAACCCGTTTCTTGAACAAAAAGTGTCGTTTTTTTAATTCTGTTTGTTGGCCTAGCTTATGTAAAGAATTTTCTATTCATTTCATGCAAAAACCCGAAAAGTCAAACGGTTGACTTTCGAGTTGACTTTTTGGTCAACCCTTTGACCAAAAGTCAACCCGGGTCAAATTGGGGCTTTTCGCATAAAAAGATTCCTTTCAAGTTTAATTTCACTTTAGAAGTGGAAATTCCAAAAAAATTCAAAGATTTGATCATAAAATCAAGCTCCTAGTGAAAAGTCAACTAGGGTTTGACTTTTGGTCAAACCTTTGACCAAAA